CTTTAAACGCCACAACAGATTTCACGTTGTATACCGTCATAATTGTTTTATTTACAGCGTTCCTTTGTAAACTACAGACTTAAAGTTCTTAATTTAAAAATGCAACACTCAAGTATCGTATTTATTCTCGAACCGAGATGCAGAGTTTCGTGGTAATAGCGTGGTGTACTTTTCAGTTAATAAAGCTGTGGTTACACATTAATTAGGTTCTATTATTGGATACACCGTGTGCCGCAGCGTTATGTAAGCTGTTCGATGTGAACGTTGTACACAGGTTTCTTTGGGTCATAGTTTGCCTTGAAACCCTACGCGCATTGTCTCTTTCTTACAATCGAACATTGTTCAGCTTCGTTTGACCTACGACAAGGCGAAACCTTTTCAGTATTGTAAAAGTAACACTGAGGCAGATTTTCAGTTATGTAATTTTAGTATAGGGCCAATTGTTAGCTAGAGAGAGATAGAAGCTGATTGGGAAATGAGAAAATGAATGTTAATTTAGTAAAACTTTTTGATTATGTATCGATATTACATAAGAAGATGCTATTTAGATATAAACCGTTCAACGGTTTTAGACGAGAAATATATCAGTTAAACTTATTTACAAATTGACGTTTCGAAACTTCGTAGTTAAAATAATTTGTTTGTAACATTAACTAATACATTTCGTGAAATATATAAAAACTCTACTACCCCAGACCTTACTTATATACATTAGTATAACCTGATTGTCAATTCTTAGGTGCCCCCGTACCAGGTGTTTTAGGTACGTAAAAATTGTTCTCGAAACATATATATTCATTATATAGATTAGACATATAATATTATTATTAACTGTGAACTTTACTTCCAAAAACAAAAATCAATTTCGATCAAATGTATAGCTCATTTTTTCATATAACTTGAACAACGCAAAAGGTTAAAAGGATGAAATACACACACGCATAATGATTGTCATCTATTCTAGTGTCTGTAGCTAAACTGATGTTTTTTGTTAAATTTAAAAGGAGTTTTTACGTCTCATCTACTTGACTGATTTTAATGTCATTTTGCAAATATACTCACGGCACTTTTTATAAAAATTAATATAATAATTGACGGGACGGTATATTATGTAAGTCAGATCAAATAATCTACTAAAATCGTTTTGTTGCTTCTATGCGGTGTTATATGAGCGAACATAGTTGAAGTCAAACTTTGACGTACATATCTCGGATCGAGCGTTAATTACACTACATATTTGAAAACTGACGAACTCCAGCACTTGAAAGTGGAGCCACAAGGGTAGATAATTCACGCTTCAGTTGTGTTGATTTTACCTTATATCATCGGATCGACGTGAGCTTGGTCCCATGTTTTGTCAGAAAGGGTAGCCTTTAAACCTTAATAATTTAATATATTTCTACCCTCAGTGACTTATCAGAATATGTTTTTGCATCTCATCTTTATAAATAAACTAGCTGATCCGGCAAACGTTGTTTTGCCATATAAATAATTACATCTATTGAATTGTAGCTTATATGACACGTTTGTCGGTTTACCATAGCAGTGCCATCTATTGATTACCTACTCAATCCATTGTAACTGTCAATTATTTATAGAGTTAATTTACAATAAAATAAAATTGCGACTATAATTAAAGATCTAAAGTATCCTATGTCTCAAGCAGGACCAGACTGCTCACGGTGTGCCAATTTAATTTAAAACCGGTTCAGTAGTTTTGGAGTTTATAGCGGACAAACATCGTGACAGGAGATTTATATATATAAAGATTATAGTTGTTGTTTTATCTTATTTTTTGATGATTTGTTTTATGTCTATGTCTATAAGTAGTTTAAAAATAAATTAAATAGCAATAGAATAAGTTCTCACAAAGAAGAATGACAAATAACTTATAAAACGATATCTAAAATAAATACAATAAAGTTTAGAAATAACTTTTTTTATTTAAACTTCTAATTATCTATTAATGTAGTTATTAAAATACAGCATTACAGCTAGGGGCATTAATAAGGCAATTGCGTTATTAGAAATCTTTGTATTTGAAATACAGTAGAGGAATATTTGTAACCAATTCTATTTTATTTGTACCTCTCACATGTCTTGTGTTTATGCTAAATGTTTTGTTTCGGTGTATCGATGTCTAAATCACTTTTTTTTAATAAAGAGGAGGAAGAACAGCGTGGAGTTTACTTGATAGTAGGTGAAATACAAGCCTATAGCATCTTAACAAGATGCGCTATCAATCATTTGGCTTTGGGTATCCGGAGATCCACAGACAGAAACCGAAACGCCATTTTAGCCCACGGCTTGTAAAAGGTGGTGCGTGACCCAGACGGAATTCTTATAATACATTTACATATCCAGATGTCTAGGCGAACAACACTTCATAGAAATTGTAAATTAGAAACATCGTGGACGCGAAGGTGATCGAACCTACGTCACGTTGATTATTAGCCATAGATTTCTATAATTAGACCAACGAGCTTCGATAGCTTATAAATTCTCATTTTCTCGTGAAATTCGAAGCGCAATTGATATGCTAGCGCGGCGCGTCTAAATTCTTCTTTCACAAAGTTATCGCCTCCGTAATTAACGTCAGCCACATGACGTACTTAAAGTTGGAGCGACATCTTTGTAGAACAAATTGGGTCCGTGATATCTGCCCTGTACTATGCAAGGTAGGTAGATCAGCACCGCTTGGTGCCGCAGTCTTACGTAACGGTTATCGTACGGATAGCTGGAATCGTTATTTACTCGGTAATTATTGTAACTGTAATAGTAATAGTTCGATATTGAACGAAACACGTGAACATCGATAGATAGTTAGTTAATCGAAAACAAAGCTATGTAACGTAAAATGAGTTTAGTCGTTTTTAACCGGCGTTTGTATGGAAGGCGCAAATGGTGAGACGCTCTTAATTTAAAAATTCTTTTTTGTAAGAAAACTTCAATTCATCTTGTAAGAAATGCAACGGTGCAGCTTTTGAAAATGTCGCAAGCGGCTAAAAAATTTCAATTTCAAAGGTTTTGGCTATTTGCCCTATTAAAGGTGAAAAAAACACTGTTAAAACGCGAAGTATGAAAGTAATTAATTTTTAAGTACGACTCGTAGTTTAATTTACAGTTGCCGCGTGGGTTTGCTTATTTATTTTTTAAATAGCATTATCTTACGCGTACTAATTATATTTTTAATCTTGTGTAATTATTAAAAGTCCTGTTCTAATAAAACATTAAGATTAGGTAATGTAGCCTCAGCCCCCAGTCAATCGAATCCAATATTATTTCAGTAGGTACAGTATACAGAATAGCTATTTTCCCATATACTTTTTATTATATTCTGACGTTTTGGTTGACGACAAGCTGAATACAAATTTATTTTACCGCAGCACGAACGCCCTTTCATGTTTAACTCTTTGAGGAATTAAGGCTATCTCCAAAAGTAAAAATAGTTTTATTTTCTACGAGCGGTTCTGTACCAATACGATTTAATTAATTTCAAGTGTTTACTTGACTTTTTTACGAAAACACGAATACTTGGAACTGTCTAGTGTAAACGGATTTGCAATTGTTTCTATTGGTTTTTAATAATTGGAAAACGTTTGTCGACAACACAATATTACAACACGGTAAAACATTCTACCGTTTATTAAAATAAAACACTTAACGGTTTAAAACGCTATCGTTTTAGTTAAAGTTGTTTGAAAAGTATTTTTAACTACGAGCCAACGTTTCCCCGTGACCACGGTTGCTGCAAAGCATCCGAAACGTTGGCCCGTAGTTAAAAGAAATGTTCAAACAAATTTAACTAAAACTATAGCGTTTTAAACCGTTAAAGTGTTTTATTTACATCTACTCCTCGCGTAAACTACCGTTTATAAAAAAATCAACAAAAAAAAAATACGACTCGGGCAGGACTTTAACCGGCATCGTCAGCGTTCCGTGCTGTTTCTACTAATTGAGCTAACGAATTCTACACGTCATCGTCGATTTTTTTAAAACCAATTGATACATCCACATCGCGCAATATTTTTATATATATTATTTCAACCGGAACACCTCTAATATATAGAAAGAAAATTAGTTTTTAAAGTGGAAAATAAATTGAAACATTTTTTCAATTTATTTTCGATTTTTAATCTATAGGTATGTATAGTAGTACCATTATGTGCAATAACGTATGAAAAATATTAAACTTTTCAATTCCACTTCTGTTACTTGTAATTTCATAGTTGGATGTTACTGTTTGTTTTGCAAAAATAAATAAAACACAGCATGATATTTCACTGTAAATAAAGTTAAACCAGTACTTTGAATATCGTTGAAACGTAATCCGTTCGTTCGGTTTTGGCGGACATAAGACAAATTACATTTTTACATGTTTAACAATTTGTTTATTTTCTGCTTCACAAAGTCTAACGCAATGTTGACTGATCTAGAAAATAGACATTTTCTTGTACTTAAATTTTAAATTTATTTAAATATATAGAGTGATTCAAGAGGAATATTTTTATATATAACGTTCACAATTTTTCTGTAGTGTATGTAGTATCATCATTGCATTGCATCCGAGCGAAGCCACTGCTAGTTGTAAATGAAACCAATAAGAAGAGGAGATAAGTAAGGTAACGGGATTTCAGCGGGACCATTTATAAAGATTATCTATTTATCTACTTTTATTCCCTTACTATAATGATATGTGCATACGAAAAGAAAGATTCGAGTTGTTATACGTCACGAGAACACATTTAAGGGTTTAAAACGCGAAATGTATTAGTTATACTTTTTTACAATTTATTTTTCCTACGGCCCAACGTTTCGGATACTTAGCGGCATCTGTTGTCACGAGGGATTGTTTTAACGCTTTTAATGTGTTTTATTTAATTTTAATATGGCTATTTATGGTTGATAGTCTTTCCTGAGATCTATATGCCATATATCACTTGATCAAGATCTATAATTCTTGTAAGTACTGAATTAACATAAAATATTCTTTGTTTCAGCTATACTTATCCCACGTTGGACGAACTGGCTAGTCAAATAAAATACGTTCAAAGCAGATTCGGATTTAAAACGTTCATCGGCTTAGGGGTGGGCGCTGGTGCTAACATCCTTGCTAGATTTGCTATAAACAATCCTTCGAAGGTAAGTGGATACTTTTGTCTATTGTCTGGACGGCTTCGTTTGTATGTGACAACATAGTTTCGCCACAACTCATTTTTTATGACAGAGAAGACCAGACAAGGGGTTGCCCATCAATCACGTGACCTTTTTTTAGAATTTTTAAACCCCCCCTCCCCCCATTCGTGATATGTAGTGAGGTTTAAGACCACCCCCTCCCCCTTCTCAACATCACGTGTATTTTTAGTACCTACAAGGAATCTTAAAATTTTCTGAATATTATCTTAATTTAAATACAGGTATAAACTATAATCTTATTTTATTCTGAAATTAAGGACCATAATAAAAATGTCTACACCATTTGTTTAAAAATCGCGCGTTAGACGAAGAAATTACACGAGATATCTTACTACACCCCCTCTCCCCCCTTGTGTTATTTTAGTATTTTATCAAACTATTTTGGCTTTAGACATTCGTAATCCACAGACTAAGCCGAAAACATTGAATTTGACGGCTTTTTCATCGTGGAGGGCTCGTACCGATGATTATACAACCCACACCCGCTACCATTAACCAACAGCCCGTACAGTCAAACCTTTCGATCTTGTAAAAAAAACAATAAACATTTAGTTTACTTTAACATTGATTTGAAATTAGAACACCTAAAGGTAAATAACTTCTTCCGTTCAGGATTAAGTCAACTTAAGTTATTTGTTAATTGTCAATTGTCAGTTAATCATTTTCTATAGTTTTCAAAAAAACAAACAGTAAATAATTTATATAATTAACTTTACTTATATGTATTGATTAACCGTTACAATTTATTAAGTTATCGCTTACATTTTTCACGCATAAGCGTTCTTTAATTCATCAAAATTGCTTGACCAATTTTGACGGCTTAATAATTAAGGACCGAGGAAAATCTTTGTATAGAAGATTTATTTATTTTATTTTAATTGATTTAATTGATATTTATAATTAACACGGACGAATATGAAAGCTTTATAAAAAATTTAAAGGTATTTTGAAGTAAAACTAAGAAAAGGTAATTTACAAAGGCGGTGATTCAGTATCGGTTGGTCGCAAGTTCGAGTCATAGATTTATAATCTTACAAGTCTGTGAAGGAGTTTACTCCTATAAATAGACACTACAACCAACGCAGTACCCATCTAGTGTTATTAGTGTAATGTCTCAACATGTTAGTGCGAAGAATTGGGTCAATTGAAGTGGAGGTCTACTTGCCTTTAGCTCGAATTAACAGAAGGGACAAACAATCGATTTTACACCACATAGGGTTTGTTTCGTTATTTAATACTAATTGTGAATAATTTAAAGTAAATACTGTCCGTAGTTTACGCGAATAGTTAGTTACTTAAAACGCAAATATTATTTCAATTACTTTATAACTACGGTCCGACGTTAAAGATGCTTTGCAGTAGCCGTAGTCATTTAAATAAAACACTTTAACGGTTTAAAACGCGATATATTAGTTAAACTTATTTGGAAATGATTTTTAACTTCGGCCTTGGTTGGCCCGTAGTTAAAAGTAATTTTCAAACAAGTTTAACTAAAACTATAGCGTTTTAAACCGTTAAAGTGTTTTATTTAAATGTGTACTACTCGCGTAAACTATAGACAGTATTTAGTAGCCGTAGTCATTTAAACTTATTAAATCAAGTTTAACTTAAATATTTTGCGTTTTAAACCGTTAGTGTTTTATTAAAAAAAAATTTAAAGTATTCTTATATATTATTACTGTCAATCACTAACATGAAAGCTACAACCGATCCAGATTTTACATTTCTAGAAACACCGGGTTAGACCCGTTAATACACAAACTCATGACCCGTTGCTTATTATTACCCATCCCTCTTTTTCCCTGGAAGGTGAATTTTAAATTGGGTTTTTTGTTTTGTTTTTTTTTTCCCCCAACTCCCCCCTTTTTTTTTTTTTTTTTTCCCCCCCCCCCCTTTTTTTTTTTTTTTTTTTTTTCTAATGGGCTGTGTCTACAAAAGTTATAATAACTCAAGTATAAAGTAAATTATTTTCTTATAATATCAGCGAGAATCTCGTTAAACTCGATCTAAGAGTTTTCATAGAAATATCAGAATAAAAGCAAGTAAAAATAGATATTTTGTTTTGTTAGACGTCTACTATACAACAAATAGACGTTTCTCTTTGATTCATTCGCATAGATATGGTAGTGTGGTTTGACCTTTACAACGTACCCGATGAAACTGTGACAGTAAAAATATAGCATATTTCGCAATACTTGACGGTTAATCTCTGTAAAGTGCAGATACTGTTTTATCTAAATTCAGCCAGATGCAACCAAAATTGTGTTGCGCTGACTTAGCTAAATTACGCGCTTACTATACCTATACATATATGTGTTGCCTAGCATTGCGTTATGCAAGAGATTCTAAGTTCGAATCCCGGAGAAGAAATAGATTGTGTCGGTCAGGCAGGGCACAGAAGTCTGATTAAAAACTTGGCTGTAAATAAAACCGCTCATTGAAACGAACACTGAAATGTGTTCGCCCTATGCTCCACGAGGGGAAACGGGGTAGTTACAGTACGGTAGTTAAGAAAATTGACTTTTTGTTTATATATATTATGTTAAAAGAACTAACAGAAATAATTTGTAATAATGCATCAATTTGGACCGATGTTTAGTTATTGTGAGTTAATCTTAAAGATAGACATATTATATAGCTGACATTTTAGAGAATTAAAAAAGAAATCATTATTTTATACATATTTTTTGGTGGTCCATGAACCATCTTGCACACGCATAGAAAGCACGCAAAGATCAAATCGACAATTTAAACTTGAAATAAAACACTTTAACGGTTTAAAAGGCGATAAATTAGTTAACCTTATTCCCGTGACCACGGCTGCTACAAAGCATGAAACGTCGGGCCCTATTAAAAATAATTTTCAAATAAGTTTAACTAATATATCGCGTTTTAAACCGTTAAAGTGTTTTATTTAAATGTGTACTACTCCGTATAGACAGTATTTAATTTAAATTGATTTTTTTTTCACGTTAATGTTTTCAAAGACAAAAGAACTACTTATTCCTTGCTATTAATTATTTTGTATACTGAAACTATGTATTAACTTCGAATCAAACTCTAGAATTAACGTTCTTCTGTTATTTATATATACTTACATATTTTTACAGATGGAAGCTTTGGCTCTCATCAACTGCACGTCCACTCAGCTGGGATGGTTCGATTGGGCTTATTTCAAGATGACGTGTCGCATGATGCGCCGGCGTGGAATGTGCGAATCAGCTGTTGAATTCCTCTTGTGGCACCACTTTGGCAGAGTAAGTATCATAATAAATAGAGAAATCCAAGAATCGAACCTTTGACTTCACTATATACACATTGCATTTAGATTTTACCTTTTTTTAAATAACAGCAGGACAGACAAGCAAGAGGTTTACTTGATAGGTAAAATATCTCAGCCGTAGCATCTAATCAAGTTGCGCCATCGACCTATTTTGGCTTTAACTTTCACGGCTTTTCATCTATGGACTGTGGTTGGTGAGCCGGATGGAATTTCGATATTCCTACTCTTAAAATAACGTTTTAAGTAAAGCATAAAAAAAACTCGAAATATTCAATGTCGCTCGCGTCCATTGCGTAAGGAGCCCTGCTCCTACTGCTCCTCTCTGGTCGAGTTAGTTACTCGATGCGCGGCGTGGCGGCCGCCGCCGGCATTATTTTAATTTTAATTTCATGATATTTTTGAATGGAATGTCCGATTTCAATAATTAAAAAAGTAATCATCAGGTATTGAGATATTCTTGTTTCAAATTATTTATTTGGATAAAAATTTATAAATGGTATGGGAAAACACGGTCTGATTTTGATCGGCATTTCTATTAATTTGTTAAATGTAAAAAAGTAGTTATAGCGACGTAACTACAATAGTTAGACATATACGCTCGTGATGTTTTTTGTAGATATTGATATATTCTATAATATTGTCGAACATTTTTTTGTCCTATCATTAATACTTTTTGCAGCGTATGCGAAGAAAGACATTTTACGGCTAAATTTTTTACGCCTTCCGTTGGTTTTAGTAAGAATTTCTATAATAATCAAGTACTAAATATAGCCTTTGTTACTCAGTGATAATGTAGCTTTCTAATGAAAAACAAAAATTACGTTACATACAAAAATACAAATCTTTCCTCTTTATAACATTAGTATAGATTACTACACCCCCCCCCTTGTGTTATTTTCGTGATTTTTATCAAACCCCTCCCCCCCCTCTTTCAAGCGTCAATTAACGGACAACCCCTATCTGTCATTCTATCATAAGTTAGAAGAAGCGATTGTTTATGAATAAGTATATTTGTAAATGCTATGTTTATAGAAATATTGTGTATGCTTATTTACTGTCTGTCATTAGTGTTGACAAATTTGTTTTTATCAAGATCTGTCCACGTTCAATAAAAGAGCGGCTACTAAGGCTTGCGAATGTTTTGCTTATTGCGTTTTTATTATTCGAAGCGTTTATTATTGCAAATAATACTCCTACTGTGTAACAGTCATGGTCAAGTCAAGAATAGACATGACATAGTCAAGAAATCTGATCTCACACTTGTATATACAATATGAATCCATGTCACAGAATGTCTTGTTTCATACACAATGCAAAAAACATAACTTAACGGTTTAAAACGCGAAATATTTGAACTGAATTATGCTATACTCATTGCTTAGGGTCGTCGTCACGGCCATTGTAAAGTATCAGGAACGAGGCAAAATGAAAACTAACACATTTCGCGTTTTAAACTGTTAATATAACCGTAGTATTTACTGATCGTGTACAATTCGCGTAACTACAGACAATGCGATGTGTAAACTCTAGCTAGCGTGCGATCTGTTCGTTTTGAGTGAAATTTGTATTGCAGTGCACTTATGTTCGTTTGTTAGTAAGACTCAGCGCTACCTACCATTACTTGATGGTAGGTGACATATCCCAGGCACATAACATCTAAACAAGATGTGCTGTCGATCTATTTTGGCTATAAATATCTTAACGTTTTTATAATCAAAATTAATAAACTTCACGGCTTATTCATCTGTGGACATTGGTTTGTAATCCGGATGGAATTTCAATATTCCTATACCATTTTAATATCCAGACTTTCAGAAAATATATCTATTAATTAGAAACTATTACGGCCCACAATTAGGCAATATATGTACTTATCTTGAGCGAGTAATGCGAATGTTATTTTTACGTATTCTTAATGCCAGCGATAACACAATACACTGATCGTTTTGTTCAAGCAATATTATTATCATTACAGATACCGGAAGAATGCAATCCTAACCTGGTCTCCAAATATCGCTATCACTTCGCCGGTCTCGCGAACCCAGGGAATGTAGCTATGTTCATAGATGTCTTTGGGAAGCGGCAGGACCTAAGGCTATCTCGCGAGAGCGGTACGATGCAAGTGCCGGTATTGAATATCGCCGGTGCGCTGTCGCCCTATGTGGACGCTACGGTCACTTTCAACAGCCGCTTGGAACCATCTATGTCAGCTTGGATGAAGGTAGTATTTATATTAATATAAAGCTGAAGAGATTTTTGTTTGAACGTTTGTATTTTGTTTTTTTGAACGCGCTAATTTTTAGGTTCGAATTGACAATGTTTTATTAAAATGGAAATCGAATTTTTATTATATATGTATTGGCTATAAAACATCCAGCTGCGGCCAATAGAAGCGAAGAAATAGAGGGAAATGTGAAAAAAAAACGGGAAAAATAAAAGCAAGATTCCTCTTTAAATGATCAAAAAAAAATGTCCGCAACAGTGTGTTTTTTTTCAGGTTTTATACACAGATTAACTATTCTACGCGGATGACGTCATGGTTTCAGCTAGTTAGATTTAATGGTTTTAATTTTCGATTTCTAATAACATCCTGTATAACTTCCAGATATCAGACTCCTCAATGGCTCTTGAAGAGGAGCCCGGAAAGGTCGCTCGAGCTTTTCGTCTATTTTTACAAGGAGAGGGCTACGGTAAATATTAAAAAGTGACATTAATAAAAAAGCCTAGTTAGTGAGGAAAGTGCTTTTGCCTTATTTTGCTATTATACATTTTTTATCTATGCTATTTCAATAGAGCTATCTCGATGTTTTGTTTATATTATTTCTCATTCTTAGCTCTTCAATTACTCAAACGAAGGGTGCGATATCCCACATTATAAGTAAGTAGAATGGCTTGGTTTTCTTTTGTTTTGTGTATATTCAAGTTATTGAAAATGCATGTTTATATTTATTTAAAATTTCGTTACAAAAATACTAAATACCCACCAGCTTGTTTAAATAAAACACTTTAACGGTTTAAAACGCGATACATTTTAGTTACACTTGTTTAAGAATTATTTTTAAGTACGGCCCGACGTTTCGTAGTTAAAAATAATTCTCAAACAAGTTTAACTAAAATATATCGTGTTTTAAACCGTTAAAGTGTTCTATTTAAATGTGTACTACTCGCGTAAACTACAAACAGTACCCACAAACAGCTTGGTTTTAAACTTTTACGCTGACTGGTAAAATGTTGCTTATAAATGTAATTGATTAGTGACGCAGAAGTTCCTACAACACAGTTTTTCACTAACATACATGGAAATTAGTATATGACGTCATTGTTTTTTTTTCACTTAGTAAAACGTCAAATTTAGTTTTGTTGGTTAACTCGTCGTATCAATATGGAGTATTACGTAATTATATTGAAAGTTACATGCTTTAACGACAGAGAAGGCTAAGACTAGAAGATTAGAAGTCTCTTCAGCTGCATATAAAAGTATTTTTACTATGAACCTTAATATTGGACCATGTGAATGAAATTATTTATATATATGAAAAAAAATTGGAATGTAGCGGTTTATTTGCAATGACGTTCTAATGTGAACGATTTTTTTTTAAATTAAAAGTAGGTACCAACAGATGTACTTGTCAATTGGTTAGAGTAAACAGCACGGAACGCTGTGGCCGTTTCAAGTCCTGCCCTGCCCTGTTTCGTTTTTTTTTTCAATTTATAATCGATTTTTAATTTATATCGTGCCATGTGAAAAATATTAAGTATTCTTTAATTCTTATGACTATGATTAACTCATCTTATCTTTTCGATTCTTTTATTCTACTATACTTAACACATATCATATACTTCAAATTTTATGTCGCTCTAATTCGTGTGTACTACACTGTTGTTTTAACATTATTATTTTTCCAATTTCAGTCTCCCCGATTCCGAAGAAGATCTTGACAAGTGGAAGTGAGAATATATTAACAGGCGATCGTCGTTCATGTCGTCACTCGCCAGTTATTCGTATAACTGAGAATCCGATCTCGGAAGCGGTTGCATGTTAGACAAACCATAGACTATATAAACGAACCATAGACTTATCCTTTGTCGATTGAGCACTGTTAACTTCGTTCGGAATCACAGACTATAAAATTAATCGTTTTTTACAGGATGCCGTCAGTATAATCATAGAGTTTTTAAGAATACATATAATGAACAGTGTATCAGAAATAAACAAACAAAAAAGATACTGTCTGTAATTTACGCTATGCAGCAGCCGTGGTCACGGCGTAACGTATCTAACTATTTAGTATATCGCGTTTTCGACCGTTAAAGTGTTTTATTTAAACAAAAAAGATTTAAATTTCCATACAAAATAAATAGCGCTATCTTGAAAATAACACTCACTCAGCTATCAGTGATTGTCATTCATTCTGGTGTCTGAAGTTTGAAGTTTTCATTAATTGAAATAAATTCTTGCGCCTAACTACTCAACCGATTTCAATTAAATTGTTTATTTATTTTTGGATCTTCTCTAGTAAAATTTGGCGGCACCTGTATATATGGACTTGAAATTTGTAACAGTGTTCATGACGGAGGATAATGGATATTATGGTAGGGGAGTCCAGGAGTAGAGAGAACGATCTTATGGTATATATACCGAAAGGAGATAATTTGTTCACCTTTCGTCTTAAAAGTTGAGACATTGTCTTAACTTTTAAGACGCGGCTGTATTTGAGTAAATAGCATTTTTTCGTGTATTTTGTATAATAACAAAGAACCGAAGTGTTTTATAGGGGTCAACAAGTGTACTTATTGTATTACTCCGATCCAAGTGGCTAAGTGAATTAGTTTGTTTGACATGCCGTCGTGCCATAGTGGAAACGTAATGTCTCGTTGTCAGTTTCTGGATATCTAATAGTTCAAAGCGGACATAGGGCGACTGCCAACTAACACTATATACCTGGCATTTAAAAAAAAACCCCATGCCATAAGAGTCGCTTTCGCATCTTAAGTAATTTTAATATCGTGGGCTCCTCTACTATTAAACTAAATCTTGTTTCGTTCGGCGCAAGATGTAGCCGCACCTTTATACGCACGCTGCATCAGTAATAATGATTCACGTTAACTTAATTTACTGACGTTAAATTGTAACAAATAATTAAAAATACGGTTTAAAATATACTTTACATACTGTAATATGTATAACATGTGAATTGAACTCGATCTATATTGTCGTTAACATAAAAAACTTTTATTGGTTTATTTTTACTACGGCCGGACAGTTTGGTGGTCAAGGGAGGACTGAAGATGGGGGATGATTCTAATGTCAATGACAAATCTGCTACACTAGCGCCATCTGTTTTTAATGTGACTTTCGGTGCGTTTTACGTAAAAAATAAAAAGGCCGGTCCAGTGTAAGAAGATTGTTTTTTCTTTTTTACAAATTTTTCATTTATTGAATTGAAGAAGAGAATATTGTGAATATTGTTTCGAAATCTCGAATGAATGAAGTGTAGTAGAACGATCTGTCATAACAAGATTACAATTTTTATAATACAAAATAGTGTCGTAAATGGCAGATAAACAATAAATACAAATATTGCCAGTTGAGTAGGATTTTAGACGAATAAAAAAAAACATACAAAAAAAATATATGTTACATTAATAGGATTTTTATCGCATAGAGTATATAAAATTACGAAGCTTATTTTATTTATCTGTTGTTTAGTGATTTTAAAGTTAGTAATTTATTATTTACATCCAAACATGTTTAAGAATCTTCTCCACACCACGATTGAGATTATAGTTAATTTTCAGATTAGCAATCCGGGTTTAGTCACTGAAACAGTTACAACGATAGAGATTTCTGTTACTTTTTGAAATAAAGATTTTCCACATGGTTCTTCAGCATTAATCGTATGTAGCAATCATGCGCTGGTTACATGTTTTGGAGGGCCCTGTGACCCTAATTTTGTTAACTGTAAAGTTATTACAAAGGATCATTGTTACTGGTTTATTGTAAGAAATAGATTGCTTAAAAATCTTGTTTGTTTATATTTTTTTTATTTATATACTACAAGTATAATATATCAATTCCTTATTTAAAAATGTATTCCTCCATTATCACTTAAGATTTATTTAGTTAATAAAAAACTACGTGTCTACTATTGTGATAATTATATATTGATTTTTTACAAGATTTTTATAAAATTAACTTATTTTTGTATTTCTTATCGCGAATATTTAAAGTAGTTATTGTTTCTGTTATATGCTATTTAAATGTACGTAGGCGGTATTATTTTATATGTTTTACGATAGTTATAAGGTAGTTAGTGTGTTACGCGGGTGGTAATTGAACGTATATTTCTGCCGATTGGGTGCGAGATGTATTCGGTTGGTACACAGATAAAAAAATAAGTGCAGAATGCATTAAGATTGTGCACAGAAAAAAGTAATGTCCATAGTATGTGAATGAGAAATATACGTTTGATTAAAAGTGCAAATTAATAATATCCCCGCATAGTTACCAAAGAGAGGAGTGTACATATCGAGAGCAACATCTTAGATAGAAATATTGTAAAGGAGTGATAAATAATCTAACACTGTATATGTAAATGGTGATCGTTACATTGTAATTGAGTTTTTACATTTTATAACATTCATGTATCGTGCTGACAGAACTCAAATCCGAAATACAAGAGTCGCATGGTTTGCCCTTTCTCTTTCCCTGCCTTGCGTCTCACCTGGGTTTGTATCTCTTAAGTGAGAATCATACTGGTGCAATATAAATTAGAACTACTAAACAGTGTTAAGGCTTAGTTTCTATTCTTCTCAGCCCGATGCAAACGCCAGAGTTTGGCGACTGAAACAAATGTATAGCAATACATCACTTAAGCCAGCGATTTTAACAACAATATAAATTCAAAAATTGCGCAAATGGTCGCTTCGCTCTTTCCGTTGTCGTTCGCACCGACGAGATTCGTAGCAGGGGTTAGGTAGACGTTAACACTCTTATTACAAAACGAAGTTTAACGTTTGTACCGGACTAATTATGGTAATAATTTAGATTCATTTATACCATGGTTTAAGAGTTAAACCAAGACTCCGCAGTTCTGGTTTAAGTTTTTTTTATAATAAGACCGTTATAAATGTTCTGTTTAAAAATATTTCGTCGATCACGTCAGTTATTCGATTACCAAACCAGTGTTAGTGTTTGGATCATGGCAGAGACAAAACGTTGGATGTGTTTATATCTTAGTATCTAAATATGTAGTTTATAGTAGAGAATGTTCGTCTAGCCTAGTTTTTTGTCTGACGCAAAAACGATGCACATTTCAAGTTCCAATATATTATAATAAAATGTTTTGTATTAATGTTGTTTTTAATCGCCATTCTGTCTCTTACTTGTAAACGGGGATACCGGGGTTACATGGTTGATGAAAGTAAAATCACGTTTTCTCTTATGTCCTACTATACTTGATTGCAATTGATTTTAATTACAAGTAGTTTTTGAACTGTTCTACGCGAACTAAAATTGTTGTTTGCCTGATGTCAATGTATGAGCTCATGACTGTTCGTAATAACTATAGCATACAGGTTATACAAAACATTTAACTACAACCATATTCGGACCGGCACTCAATACATTGTCAGTAAAAATATCCATATTCCGAATGAACATTTCGTCAAACCCGGGTTTTCTGCACGTTGTCTACGTTGATACGACGGTATTATGTCAAAATAATCCTCTTATGTTAAATCGATATCTATATATTATTAATTAATTCTATAAGATACTTCCTAGTATTATTTATATTTAATATATTTGATTCGCGAGAACTTGTTACAAGAAAACAAATTATATACAATAATAAAAAATTAAACTAAAAAGTATAAAATCTTGGCAGAAGGAAATAGGTATTTTACTTGAGTTAAAAGAAAACAATTAAAAGACAGTGCCCAGTAAAAGTTTCAATGAATCAAAGACAAAGAAAGATGAGATGGGCGAACAAACATAAAACATAGCATACGTACGAATCGAATTGAGAACCTCCTTTTTTTAACTCGCTTAAAAATTACATTTACAATTTTTTTTTATTAGCCTCTCGGTGACCACTGGACCACTAAACATAGATCTCCAAGAACTTTCCAATGTAACCGGTCGCTCGCGACTTAAATCCAGCGTTATCCAAGTACCCTGACTTACCTAGTCTAGTTAGGGTACTTGGAAAACGCTAGATTTACAGCGATGAGAGGTGGCAGACAACCTCATCCGCTCCCTGGTAGGTCGTCCATGTTTTCCACGTCTGGTGGTCTCCATTCCAGGATCTTTTTGTTCCAACGGCCGTGGGTTCTGCAACCCGCCTTTATACTCATCTCATACTGCCAATCTAAAAGGCTATGTGACTCTAGTTCGTCGTACTTTAACTCGTAATCTGCGCACGATGGTCGCGGTGGGAGACTATGTTTCGGTACGTCATCGCTGGTAACACACACTGCTGAAACGCCTTTGTTACATACAAAGGCGTTGTATGTAACTATCATATTTAGTTATAAAACACATTATTTTTTCCGTTGAATTCATATAATTGTAAATTTTCCATTGATAAACCAAGATTATTACTTGATTTTAAAATTCAGTAAACCAAACCAGTATTAAATAAAACTAATCTGTATGTAGATAAATATATATTCAATGAACAAAACGGTGTAAATGACAATGCGTTATACACCTAAACAAGCAAAATAGAGCTGACATTTCAATATTAATACATGAAAGGTCTTACAATGGAATGCTCATTTCAGGCCACGATGGACAGTAGACTGCGCAAGTGTAATAAAAATTTCAAATAAAAGTCTTAGTATATTTAACAATTACATATTTGTTAAATTATATCAAATCTCTAAATTTATTACAGATTTAAATTATTTTATAACACAATGTTGGTTGGGCACAATCTCACCAATTTTATTCTTCAATGTAAAATAATCATGAACCCTTAGAATAACGTCACACTCCGAATATATGAGCGAAAATGTAAAGTTCAATTCTATTCCCTCCTCTGAGGTATGATGCAAACACTTTTCTGTGTCCGTTTTTATTTACATGCATTTGTAAGACTACTGTGCCCTGGCTCACTGAAAAATATATTTTTATCCCGGGATTCTAACCCAGCATATATCGTGCTTAACGGATATGCGTTAACTATTAAAATGGAGGGCGTTTGTTAAAATGAAAAATCGGCTCATACACAATAATAATAACATTTGTATACCACTAACCGATAAGCGATAAAACCTACAATTTACACGATTAATATATCTTTGATTTTTTTTTGCAATTTTTGCACATTTTTACAGCTTAAAATAACGAAACTAATATTTTTTACAATCTTATGCTTTAATAAAATAAATATTGTATTGGTTCTACACGTAATAGCTAAATATGGCTAGCCTAGCAAGATAGGGTACACCATACTTGTTTAAGTAGTTATTTCGCGAGATGGCGCCATGAAAGTTTATAAAAACAAAAGTTACCTAAGTCTTGCTTCTTGGGTTTCGAAGTGTTTTACTATGTACTTGAGAAGTGGAAGTCAATTTACATTCTGTGACCAGAACTAGTAAATTAAAATTTGGAGTATTTAATTTTTAAGTTAAATTAACATCTTTAGCGTGCTCTACTACTTAACAAAGCGATTTGTTTAGTAGTTAGATTCTTGTGGTAGTGAAGATAACAAAACGCAAAGGTACATCAAATCAAAGTTAACTCAATACAAGAACAATTTTTTTTTATATTATTCAGTGCAGATTTATGAATAAAAGTGTAAGTGAATACTGTAAATAATGTAACGAAAACTATATACTTCTATTTTATTCAATCCAATTTCACCAAAACAATGACATTTATCAAAGCTGACCAAATTTAATCTGTGTTGCAGTTTAATTTTGTTATACATACCATTATTTCTCGGTGAAATTGAATCTAATCTATACTAACAATTATATGACCTCTAAGAATAGTGCATTTTCTAAATATAGCTTATGAAGCCGACGAGGATGGACGCGTACTTAGTAAAATTATATAACCTAAAACATCTATTCATGTATACTTAAATTCACGTTTATAAAATTAATTAAAATAGGGAATAGTGAGTCAAGTCAGTTCTACATTATTTACTTAAAACTGTCGTACAATATTAAGGAATTGGTAATAATGTACCTATTTGTCTAACCAATATTTAGTTTCTTTATAACAACAACACAAATACTTTAAGTTAATTTCATATGTATAACAGTGAAATGCCAAAACCAAAATAATACTAGCGCACAAAATTTACCTAAAAATGAATATAATAAAATGCGTTAATTTTTTTCATTGGAAAAATACCAGTCGTGTTAAAATATAAAGTGTATCAAATAAAAATCATTAGTTGAGAAAATTTCTAAAATATTATACAGTTATTTATCGACTGTATTAGGGATTTATTAACTGTGGCTACGAGAAGCGAAACGCCACAGTATGTTACGTCACAATCAGTAATGTCACACGACCTGTCAGAAAGTAGTTTGGCGGAAATTTATATTTTTTATTTAAATTAATTGGTTCACATAGGCAAAAGATATACTGTTACTTCATTATTGACATTCAAATTTACGGCTATTCATAAAACATTATACAATATATACACAAGCAATAAACAAAAGTTGCAGTTTAATACACTTAAAAATCTGTCAATTGCAGAATAGGTTCCGTTTATTGCCATGCCTAGTTTAAGGCTATTTTATACGTTAGTTGTGGAAAATGATAATCAATATGATAGATATAATTACGATAAGGATCAGCGTCAAGTATACTTTCTTCTTGCGCAGCTTGTTCTGAAAATATTTGATGCCAGTTATGAACAGAAAAGGACGAAAAATCAAAAAAATTAAAAGAGATAGATTATGAACACGTTCAGGAGTTCAAATTTTTTTACTAGAAATGCCATAGATTTTGGCATTTTTTTTACTGAATAGAGAAACTGAATTAATAACTAAAAATATGATATATAAAAAAACAGTAAGTCCCCACAATCTAAGCAGCGTTAATACAAATAACGCACGAATGGTCGTTAGCATTCGTACAAACTAATTAGATTTTAATCTTATCCAATGTTAGAATTTGTAGTTATTGTTCTCGTATATTACTGATAGTGTATACTATACCTTATAGTTCCCAGCCTGTTGTATTTCTTGGACAGCACTCTCAACATTCTGCGAAGTGTACTCAACACTGGATTCTATGGAATCAACTATAGCGCCCTGGTCGTGAATCACCGTTCCCAAATTCTTGAAAATCTGGTTCACATCCATGATGTCATTCTAGAAGTTATAAACAATAATAATGTGCATTTCAAGTGACACGTTGGTTCAGTGGTAACAATTATATGTAATAATATTAAATAATAAATATAATATTATTATTAATTTACAGATAATATATTATTACTGGTGATAGCAGAGCATAATCTATAATACAAACACTATGATGAACAACTTCAATTCCTGTTCATTGATTTCCAAAAAGGTAATATAGGTCAACACATCCTCGTGAAAAATAAAAAATACTCCTTAATTTATACCTCCAGTTGCCTAATGTCTCTCTCACGTTGTTCCAATTCTTGAAGCTCCCTCTCCTTCTGCATCGTCATTTGTTCCTGTTTCCTAGTATTAGTTTCGCCCATTTTGACCAGCTCTTTGTTGCCACCTACAGATTATAATTTATACAGTTGTAAATATAATTCAAAACAATGGCGGTATGAAAGACACAAAAATTTATTTCACACATTTAGAATAAAGCTTACTACATTAGTAAAGATCAAGTTTTAAAGTAGAAATAAAGAAAAGAAATAAGAATACTTCAATTTTTTGTTTGAAATACTAAACCCCTTTGTAATAGTTTAATATTTTCAGAGCGGGTTAAGATAATCGCAAATTAAATTTATATTAATATATAAAGCTGAAGAGTTTGTTTGTATGAACGCACTAATCTGAGGAACTACGGGCTCGAATTAAAAAAAAAGTGTTACTTAAAGCATTTATCGAGGAAGGCTATAAAATATCGCCCTGTGACTAATACAAGCGAAAATACAGCGGGAAATATGAACAAAAGGGGAAATCACCTGGGGTTTCTGATGCGTACGCTCTAAAAACGGTTCAAGACACAAAAAATATGTACAGAGGAATGATTCCTCTTTAAATGATCTAAAAAAGTCCGTGACGCTATATGTATATATTTTAAGATTAACTTGCAAGAACAAGGAAGGGACGCGACCGACGTCGTGGATCACAGCGTAATTTATAAAGATGTGGAGAAGGTTTGAAAAATCAAATTCAGATGTCCAAAATAACAATTTTACGCGGACGACGTCGCTGACACAGCTAGTTGAATATAAGCTTATAATGTTAACTTTAAACAGTAAAACATGTGATGTAAGGTATAAGTTCTTTCCCACTTGTTCTAAATGGGTGGGACACAAATTTGATTGATTTAAAATTAGCATACCATCTTTGGTCTTTTAACTTTTTTTTCTTTTCAATATTTTTTTTGTCTCTTTCGCATCCTTTGACGCATTTTGACGCAGCAAAAGAATTTATAATAAAATTACTATAATTGATCATTAGCTGAAAAAAATATAAGTGTTACACGATTAAATGTTAATAAAGTCGCTCCCATAAGCCATATCTTGATAAAGTTTATAAATGGAGTGATTTTATTATTTCAGATTTCACCGTAATTAATACGAAACCATTTTAAATGCGTGACATTTTATCGTGCAGCGATAAGAATTCATTAAAAATGGAAAATATTCATACTAAATATGTTGCAAAAAATGCGGAAACTTATACTAATAATAAATTAGGTTTTAAAATATAAACCAATGCTAGATTATTATTTACCCATTGCAAACGGATCTCCTATGTTTATATTCTGGGCTTTTACTTTTCGAACATCCTCTTTTGACTTCTGCGCTGCAGTCCTCTGAGTTGCCTGAAAACAAATACCATACTTAGTTAATAAATTAGAGAAATTTTTATTATTTATTATTAAATTTCAATTATTAACTATCGAGGCTCCACTAGATTGAAGTAAAATAAAGACGTATTTTTGTTATGTGAATTTAGCTGGGATGTCGTTAGAATAGCTGGTGCCATTTGGTGTTTAACAAGCAAATCACTTGACACTGATTTGGAATTATTGGAAATCTGTGTGTGAGTGACTTTGTTTGTTAAAAGATTTTAGATAAAAAGAAAGGAAACTTAAACACATTGATACTATACAAAGAAACATTTTATATACCTGGAAGGCATTCAGAGTCGCCAAATATTCATCGCTAAGCCTGTCTCTCGTTAGCTTCTGAGCAGGATGATCAGTAGGCATTTTCATTAACTCCATTAACATAGTGGAAGTATCCTTCGCAAGCTTCTGGGTGTAGTTTTGAATCTGCCTCCTAAATGTGTTTAAAATGCTAATCATATTGTAAAGTTTTCAAATTATGACTCAGTAATTATGAGAGTCGGTCAAAGAAAACAATAAATTTCACATGTAGTTAACAAACAATTTACTAAGCTTGTTTCTTTAGTAGCTGCCATAACTCACAAGTCGTAAACCTTATAAAAACCATTTAGTAGACACCAACCTACTGTAGCAATCATTTCACTATACCCACTCCAAGCAATAAACAACGTAACAAAAGACCAATAAACACTTAAATAATAGTTTTTGGATGTATTAAATTGATAACAAAGCAGGATTTCATATCACTAGATACAACAATACTGACAGCTGTTTCCGCAATTCCTGAGAATCCTGAGGCGTTTGTAGCTGGTTAACCATCTTGGACATTGAAGATACTGCAAAATACAAAAGTGTACAAAATACTGTAAATGTGTAAAGAAACATAAACTAACTTCCCGAATATCAGTAGCATAGCTAGGTGGCCAAGGACCATGGTCTACCTAATCCTAAGGCTCTAGAAAAAATCGGGTCCTCATCCCCTCTTTTAGCATAGCTTGAATTAAATGAACCTCCAAAATTATAAATAGAAACAAGAACATTAAAAAACCCTTTTCTTCTACTCTTATATCTTCTCAAAGATAAGGTTAGAGGGCCCCTAAGTTCCGGGGCCCTGGTGCACTGCACATTCTGGCCCTTCTTTAGCTACGCCACTGCTGAATACATACACTCAGTATGGTAAAACAAAGTATGTGGGCAAAAGGTTTTTTTTTATCAAATATATACTTTATAGATAGTAAATACTTATCAGGAATGAACTAAATAACAACATACCATTATGGGATATCTTCTTTATGTTACTTCCTATTGTTTGAGATAAAGTCTGAAAAGTATCTGTTTCTTCATCTACGACACCTCCTTGGTATGAGCTATTCATTTTGCTGATGTGAACACTGCCGCTGTTTGAAAAAAAACATTGATATCAAATACGTATACAACTCATTTAGATTTTTACATACTGTGCACAGACAAAGATCTAAAATTGTATACCTTATCACAATATTTAATTAGGAGATTCGACAACGTAGGCAAATCTAATAATATTGTTTCTACGTAAAAATGTTTCCCTAATTGTTTCTATTGTTGATTATTCGTATTAGCACCCACTAGAAAATTTGCCTTAGAAAATGTAGCTAAACAACTCCTGATAATTTTATCGTATAAATAAGATATCAAAAAACAGGGCGATGAGTAAAGTAATAATAAAGAATACCCACAGAGTATAAACCTACTACAATATGTAAAACCATTAGTAACTAATTCACAGATTATTCAGAATTAGTAATTACATTACGCACAGACTTACGTGACATACCACTACCACAGCTAATCACAAAAGTAGTATTCTGTATCACCGATTCATGACATAGTTATTATTAATATTTTACAGAATTTTCAGGTACATCTGCAATAATATTATAACGAATATATTCAATTTTCTCGATTCAAAATATCCATGTAAATACATTTAATATATTAAATTTTTGTGTTTGTATTGACACATTATAAACAAAGAAAACGACATATAGTTATGAGATAAACAAAATATATTAATATATTATGTACTATTTTATAAGACGTTGGATCACGGCATACCATTGTTTTACAATTTAGATCATGGGTGTGCCAATAATGTGATCATGTAAACTGACAGATTTGTTTATATGTATTTAACGTGTGACATCTGTCTAGCCGGAAATGGAAAATAAGACTTGGCTTAAAGGTCTCGTTACCAGGCCATTAAATATAAAAAAAGACGGAAATGCTCAGCCGGTCGCCATATTTTTTTTCATGAATTTGCAATTTGTAATTCAAAGTTCACACTTCACTATTCCGACCGAAAGCATTATCTAAACTAATATAATCTATATCATTGTAAGTAAATGTTTAAAATTTACTTACAATCATAGTACATTTGCAATGTGCCATTAAATAGACTGCGTGCGTTGTTTCTATGGTTTTTCTTTTTCTTTACATCGTGGTAATAAGAACTATTTTATATCCTTTAAGGTCACAAAATTCACGTTCAATTTGGAAATTGGAACAGCTTCGGGCATTTCTTTTGGCGCTCTACGTATTATAAAACGGTGGAATAGAAAGAATATAATAAAAATTGTATGAAATTCCACGTGTCGTAAGTTTTTTCATCTTTTAAGATTCAATGTCCTAGGCGACAGGAAAGCCGTTGACGAAAGTCTGTTTTATATTGTGGGAACTTAGCCTTAACCGTATGATTTAAGTTTTCTGGGCATAGAAAGTTAAAATTGATTATGGGTCTTATCAAAGCATTGATTTTAAATATTTTTATTGTCTATTCATTGTTAGCCAACAATAATGGATCCACCAATGTATTTACCGTATGGACCTGCCACAGGACATAGTACACTGCCACAGGAATCAAAACTGATGACATACATGGTAAGAATCTAAGATTGATGTTTGTACACTTCTCAAGCTACACTTTTTAATTATTAATTTGCTTTTAGCGTCACAATATGAATCCACCAATGGCTTCTCTAACGACACAGTTTAGCAATATGAACATAGAGGCATCACCCCCACCTGTAAGAAAAGTGAGCATTTTATTAATTTTAAATGCCCAAATTCATTTACAGTAAATTTTTCTAATTGAAACCTAATTTCTCTGCAGGTATACCCCAGAGAATATGTCCCCATGACTTATTACACACAGGTGCCAATAATGCCTGAGTCACCGCAGAGTTCACCTCCAGCAGTGATTCCTCCTCCATTGACACCTCAAGTACATTTGGTAAGCTTGAATATTATAAAGTTTGCTAAAATATCTTTGGAGTTATACAAATGTGTTCCATCTGTTCATTCAAAAGCATTGTGTCGGTGTGGTGGCATGTAATGGTTCTGGTCATGTATCACCTCCCAGAAGGGTGTAGTATGATTTACCACGCTTACACTTGTAAGGAACCTCAATATAATGTCTCACACTGAGCTCATTCTTATTATTATATAAAAGTTTAATTCGGCCACTATTGGGATACGCCTATGTTATATGGGATCCATACTTTAAAAAAATAGATAACTTTAATTGAAAATGTGCAGCGGAGAGCTACTAAAATGGTTAAACCCTTTAAATACTCATCATATAATGCCTCAAGGACAGAAAAAGGGGATGTTTGATAGAAACCTATAAAATTCTTTCCAGTTACTACAACATAATTGACAGGACAGCATATTTAATGAAAACAAGAACATTAAGAGGACATAATTTACAACTAAAGGCAGCTTAATTGCAACGGAAATGTTCTGATAAATTTATTTCCAAATAAAGTGGTATGCCACTGGCATCAACTCCCCGAGGAAATTGTCACTACTCTTTCACTTAATACATTCTCCTAAAACTATTCACGCATCAGCTTAGTGTAATAAATAAATAAAACTTCCAAGGTCACTATTGCCCAAAGTAGGTGTGCACCAGGCATTAGAACAAATGGTTGCAAAAAATATTCAATTTCCCTAGTCAAATCAATAAGTCAACAGTCAGAGAAAGCTGAAAAATTACGAAAAGAAGAAAGACGTTCAATACATTACTTCCACAAAAAAACAAATATTCCAAATCAAAAGAACACATTAAAGAGTTTAAAAGAAAATCTTATGATTCTCTCCACAAGTGGTCTCACTTTCCTTGTCCTCCAACATATCTTTTTTGAGATATTTTAAAATGAATCATTAGGAAATATTATAATAGATGTTGAACTGCCAAAGATACACAGACCCATTTCCATGGCATGCAATTTGTTTGTTTGTGTACTCTTATTCATTATTGACTGTTATTGTTTTTATTTTATTAAGAACTAATTTAGAACTTACAGTATCTTTTATTGCACAGATAGTTGACAACTACTAGGTTATTTATCCCCCACCAAGTTGAATGTGTATAATCAGTCAGATGCAAAAAATTAGTATATACAAGTACCCTTTATGATGATCCTTTTTGTTTTTGTATAAATCAAGGTTTTCTTTGTGTCAGGCAAATGTTGGTGGAACAACATACTTTTATCCCACAAATGACAGCCTCAATACTTCCGGAGGAATGAAGGCATCTACTTCACAAGGAGGTATGTGGGTCTACGAATTTATCAAATTCACTGCATAATAAACATTTTTGATAGTTTCTTGTTTTTTTTATAAACAACAATTTAAAAAAAAATGAAACTGCAAACATGTTTTCAAATTTATCCTGATTTTAATTGTAACCAATTGAATTTCAGAGTGCAGGTGAATTATTATTTTATATTTATGAACCATATCATTAAATCTTTGAAATCATACATATGTATTTTGAGGAACAACATTAATTTTTTGTGTTTGATTACAGTTACATTATTACTCATTGATCTTTGATATATATTTTTATAATAAGCTATATGTATATTCTTATGAGATTGTATGTATAAAACCAGATCATATTTAAATACATATTTATTGCTATTTCTCATAAAGATTTACTTAACAGGTGGCGATCGTGCTGTGCCTACAATGCAATATCCTACATCATGCCCCCCAATGTACACATCAACACCTACACACATGCCATCAACCTCAAAACATGGTAAGTATTTAAAATCACGAGGCACCCAGCCGTAGTAAAGTGCATTCTGTACTAAAATATACATTCATTCATAATCATGCAACATATGATAAATATATCCTTAGGGTATTTATAAATAAATTGAAATTAAATTCCTAGTTGTAATTTTACTGTCAACTTTCAGAGAATTGTCATAGGTACCATAGAATAGTATGTGTCTATTATAAAGTTTCATTAAAAATACGGTTTCCAACTTAAAGTCGAAGATCTTTATCAAAATAGTATCATCGAGATTCTTGTGTTCGGTGCATAGTGACAAATCCTATTTTAAATTAGTCTTTTTTTCAGCTGTTTAAATGAATATTGCAAAATTTACATAATATTACAATACGGCCGATGTAACTTGGCAAGCCTGATCTAAGCGCGAAACGCTGCGCAGAAACGTTCTTTAGGATGTTAACGGTGGTTAGAGCGAGAGGCACGGGACGAAGATCTAGGCTAGTGATTGACTCAATGTCAACACAATCAACCGCTTATTCTATCACATTTTGTAATCTGAATCTGTGATATTTATCGATTTAGATTGTGGATTTTAAATCGTATGAGATATTGTACTAAATGGATTTGATGAACACAATGAATGGTGTTGTTAATAAACATTACCATGATTGCCTTTAAACGAAAATAAATTTATTTTTATTATTGAACTACCTGATTTAGTTAAATATGAGTAATTATTTATATAATTACTATGGATACCTTCTTTAGGACTTTTTATAAAATTATATTTTTACCATCCAATTTTATCTATTTTAATAGGAATCGATTAAACGACACTCTCAAGGATCGCGTATGGACATCTCTATTTGGTTCTTCGTACATGTTCGGTAAACAGTAGTGCGCCTCGGTCATCTTAATTCGTTACCTCTGTCTTGAGCGCAGTCCGTTAGAAAAGTGATTGTTTATTGTTAAATGTAATATTATTATTTCTCTTTTGTTATATTTTTGTTTTGTCTCTGTATTTTAGTGAAAGATAAGTGTTCGTAGCCCTTATTGTCTTTGAAACAATTATTGGTATGTTACTTTTGCTTGCTATAGGTAAAATTTTTCGCAGTTCCCAGTAACGAAAATGAATGGCAGTATTAGGTTTCTTTACGATTGTACATGCGCCAAAGTTAGTCTAACCTCTGTTCAGAGCTGCCAAATTACGTCGGCCGTATTATATAAACAAAAATAATGTATAAAGATTATGAATTACAAGTATGTGGAAACCATTATTGTAACTTTTAAGCCAACCAACATTTTAGCCACGAACTTGATTCTAAGGTTTTTTATGTTGTGAGATATATATTCATAATTAAATAAATAGTAGTGTTATGAACAACGATTAAAATACTTTCGGCTTAAAGGGCCTTTCTTCGCTGACGATCCCCGCCTATGGAAAAGTCATTGTGCGGGGATCGAACCTGCTGTCTACTACGCTCCTTGGAGCAACATACCATCCTCAGGTTATGCATAACAATAATAATAGTTGTTCATGTTGTTTTAATCAATGTATGATGTTGATGTCTCATGGCTATCAGTATAATTTAATGGCATGGATTATTTTATCGCTATTAATTGACTTGACTAGTGATTTACTTGGCTATTATTATTTTTAATTTCAAAAAACTTTAAGGATCTCTAGGTATTCTAAGATTAATATTTTAATAAAATTATTTGCGGTTTCTATAATTCCTATACAACCACTGACCCTCAAAATTTTCACAACCATCTGTCATGTTCCTCAATTAAGCTTGCATGGATGCTATTATTTTTGTTGTTGTTGCAATTTAGTCAACGCATTAGTAGTATTGTGCCGTTGTTTTACTCAGAAGTTTAAAGGAGCAGTGAGTTATTGTACTATTGAATTTGGTTTCAACAACCACAGTCTAATATCTGCATAAAATAACATTAGAAGTGTTACATTTATTGGTGGATACATGCTCCCAGCTTTTTAAGACGTAGAGTGAGTAACTGGCAGTATATATTTTCACGTAAAATGCACAAAAACACAAAATATTTAATTGACTTTGCAAAATAATTAGAGAATCCACCATATAAACAACATATCCATGATTAACTCTATTCAGTTTTTTCTATTGGATTTATATTAAGGAATGGTTTTATTTAACCAAACTAGCTCCACTCCAACAAAGACGTCTTAAATAATAATTTTAAAATGCACATCCTATTTTCTTTACTTTTTTAGCAGGGTTGGCGACGATGTTCTACATGCCGGAGCAGATTAGAAATGAGATGTATCAAAGAAACGAATACATGTACATGCAGCCAAATCCACAACAATACCCCGGTATGTAAACGTGAAGATATATAATAAAATATGTTTACATTTTTAAACTAAAATGTACGCTTTAATAACTCTTGACTTCATGCCCTGTTACAGATTTACCGGACAATATAGAAATGTATTCCGTATTGATACCTTTAGAAAATCTATCGCCACATTCCATAACCACATCGTACCGTGCCACCCATCGACAGAACGGCGACCACTACGCACTGCGCCGCTTGCACACCTATGGCACTGTACCATCTAAGAGATTTGAAGCGTGGAAACAGATAGATCACCCGAACATAATCAGATTACATGAATGTTTCATTACCAAAACTTTTGGGGACCATTGTGAGTATTATTAATACTCCTTTACCTAATGACTTGAAATCCCATTTTATATGCATGTTTTACTGATCAATTTGAATTAAGAACTTAATCAAAATAAAATTATCATTAATATATATATATATAGTAAAATAATATTTTTCTCTGTTATACAGCCATGATTTTGGTATACGACTACCACCCAGCAGCTGTAACTTTAATGAACAAGTATATCGTTGCAAATGGTGCAGGGAATAATCTTGATGGGTCAAATGGGTCTTACCACGACCCGTTCTCTTCAGACCCTGATGCACCTAGGCCCTATACACATCAGGTATCCATTGATTATCATAAATTGTTAATCTTTCTAAAAATCCTCTTACATAAAATAAAATGTATGTTAAAAGTGCTTGGTTCATTGATCAATTACCTACCGTTCTCTAGAAAAATGCTATGCTTCGGGCAGTTGCATGTGGTGCCTTGCTGCCAGAACCAGTATTGTGGAACATAATTGTACAACTCACAGCCGGTTTACGGGCCATACATGCGGCGGGACTTGCATGCAGGTTAGCCATTTTATGTGTTTGTATTTTTTGTTAATTCTAATAGAATCAGGAATAATCTCTCTCTCTCTCTCTTTTTAAAATTTTAAAAGGAATTTGTTTGCCACTCTAGACCAGAAATGCATTACTTAAACCCTTCACTTGTTTAATATAGTTTATGTTTAATTTAATGATATGAATAAAATTAAACTGAAGTGTAATTTTTTATTAAATTTACACAAAAAATTGACACGCCTATTATAAGATCAATGAAGTTGATATATTGATAGCAAGCTGAGATGCCTTTTAGAACAAAGTTTAAAAGTTTTTTTTTTCAAATCGACGTCTACTACTAGTCTATGTGTTAAAAACAAATTATTTTTTTTCTATTGCCAAAGACATCATTGTAAATCATATTGCTGTTTAATTTCAGGACACTGGATGCTACAAAAGTTGTTATAACCGGCTGTAGAATTCGTATTGCTTGGTGTGGTGTAGCGGATGCCCTACACGCTAACGAAATAGATAATGAAAAGGTAAGACAATAAGTAATATAATTATATTTTATATGCAGATAAATTGTACCTTGTACGGACCAACGTATTCATTCAATAATATCATTTTATAGCATAATTATAAAAACCTTTAAAATTTTGCAGACAAATATAAGAAACATTTGAAAATTTTGTAGAAAAATAGACAGGATAATAATAGTCGAAATATTTCCTATATTGAAATACTCTTTTTCTTAACTAAAAACTGTGAAAAACTATATAAACATCAATTCGAAAATTTCAACACTTCGTTATTGTAAGCTGTTACAATTTTCAGTCTATACAATTAGTTATTATATTAGTTATAAGTTACTATACAATTGTATTTTATTATTTCGTAGTAGTTTAGTAGTACTTCTGTTTAGTTATGTAGTATTTATTTATTTGTTAGTGGTTATAGTAAAGAGTTTAAAGTTGTTTTTGTCCGTTTCAGGCGAAGCAAGATGATCTCACTGCACTTGGCAGGTTGATACTGTCTCTCGCTTGCCGTACGATACAGTGTGATATAGCGACGTCCGTTGAACTAGTTACAAGGTCCTACTCGCAAGACTTAAAAAATTTGATAGTGTAAGTACTCAATACAAATGACTATTAGGATAAGAGCTTGGCGTTAAAGAACAGGTTTAATTTTTGGTACTTACCACTATATCTTTTGAATTTTTAAATTTTTGGCCACCATAAGCTGTGTAAAATGCTGTGCGTATTAAGTTGCATATTATTGCGATTTATATCAATATTTATTAAAGCGTAGACTGTCTTGCTTTTGGTATATTGGAACTTCTTATTATAGCTCACGAATTCGTTATTATTCAGCGATTATATGTTTATTACTATTTTAAGAAACAATCTGGTTTAACAGTTCTAAATAGTGATCGCGTCCGGTTCTTTAAACAAGACTCTTGCTGGCGCCTTATTTATATCCTACAGGATAATTCTATCTACCACGTTGACTAAAGGCAAAATTGTATTTAGTCCACCAAAGTCTTTTCTTTAACGAGGGCATATTACCCTATTTTGTGCACTGGCGAAGACATAAGTGGCTCAATGATAAATAGGGTCTGAAATTTTGCTGTGTGTACATACTATTTACAAAATACTTGTGCCGTTCGTATTGTGGATTTATACTATTACTAGCTGTGCCCGCGACTTCTTCCGCGTGTAATAGTGACTTGGGGTAGAATTTTTCATTATTTAGGCTGTTTATTAATATATGTAAATGCGCATTTAAGGCAGCCAATCTATGTTGTAAGTGCTGCTTTGCCGCAACACTCCCACATAACTCTTATTCTAACTCCCACTCCCATTCCCACGCTCACTCCCACTCCCACTCGCACTCCCAAAACCACGAATTTCCGTACAAATTTTTATCTCCTTTTTCAACCCCTATCAACCCTTATTTAGCAATTATATATATTATTGGCCATATTTAAAATGTAGCCTATGTCCTTTCTCAGGTTCTCAAATATATATGTACCAAATTTCATTTTAATCAGTTCAGTTTCGGAGTTAAAGCCGGACAGACAGACAGGGTTACTTTCGCATTTATAATATTAGTATAGATTGCAATCTTTTCTTCCCATTGAATGGTGAATAATCAAATACTCTGTGTTTATGCGAAATACATTTCTAGCTATTGTGTTCAATTACACGTTTTAAGTTATTTTAGTTTCTTTATGGCTTACATTGACTTTTGTCACTATTTATCAAATGGCTTTGGCAAGATTGATTCAGAGTGCGAGTGATCCTGGGTTTGAAACCCATACAAAAACGATTAGTGCCCTAGTTAGCCCTATTAGTGTCCTTCACAGGGGTATTAAAGGGCCTATTGTATTTCATTACGAGTGTCTAATAAGGCTGAAGCTATGTATATCTTCAAACAGTAGCAGTTGCAACGAATGGTAAAGACGCTATCCCTACAACTCGTGTGCGTAGGATTAAAGTTAGCTCTGCTAGCGAAAATAAAAATAGGGCACTTACTCGTAATTCTCGATGTGCTCTCGAAATTGTTAAAACAGAGACTTTGCGTGTTTCATACCAAACTTTGGCGAAACTGATGTGTTTATTTTTTAATTTGCAGTTGTTTACTATCTGTACAGCACAAGACTGTTAGCGATCTAATGCCCATGATTGGAGCGAGATTTTACACGCAGGTATGTAAAAATTTATATAATATTTTTTATTTGTATTTGATTGATTTACGTAATTCTTAACTTAGTGTAGATTGACGATTTATTCTGGATTAGTAAGAGACACGTTCATAAACATTAACGTTATGAATTAAAAATCGAGTCGGGCGGAACTTGAACCGGCACCACTCCGTTAGCTCGTTAGCTCAAATAACTTGATTTACAATATTTTTAACATTATATAAAATAAAAGTGGATATAATGAGCAAATAATTACGCAAAAAGATGACGGAAGCAAGTTTACCACGCCGCATAGACACGGAGAAGAAACGATTTTTGTTTAATTTTCTTTCGAAACGGTGCTAGCCAAGTGCTAGTCACATTTACGCTGGATCATTCCGTTGATACTCTTATATATAAAAAATGAAAAAGGACTTTTGTGTGTCAGACCCCTCTCCCCCCTTAACAAGTTAATTTTAACATACATGCGTTTTAAAATAAATGGTCTTCTATTCGCTCGTAGATTTCAGACAGTACTTGATCTTATTTTTTTTCGTCTTAACAGAATGTTAATAATTTGTACAATTCAAAATTAATAAAATAGAAAGTTTTGCATAAAAATATTGTCCGCGTGTATCAATGTATGGTACCCTAATAAATAATATAGAGCTGGGATATTTTACCTTTCACCACCCTTGTAATTTATAAAGGATATTAATTGTTCACTCTTGTATCATTTAAGGTTGAAGCTTTCGAAAGGAGGGCAGACCTTTTTGAAAATCAATTGGCACAAGAGCTGGACAATGGGCGATTGCTTCGTCTCTTACTTAAAATGAGCTTTATCAACGAACGACCTGAGTAAGTCTTTTAATTTAAATCTTTGAAAATATTCGCGCGTACACGCCACCTCTGTAGCTCATTTAAAAACCACGTGTAAAGCGCGAGAGGTACTGTGTTCGAATCCTGGGGAAACAGCTCAGTGGTTGTTAATAATAGAAAAAAAGGATTCTCGCACTTTACTACAATAATACTCTTATTTAAAACCTCTTACTTTTCCAGTATATACATTAGATGTTTAGTAAATTTGTTTGATACTATAAACGAGACTGTTTTTCAAACGGCCTCGTCGTTGGCTCGCTATAAAATAAACTACATTAATCTAAAATGAGACAATATTTAATTTTTTTATTGTATTTACTTTTATTTAATTGTTAGAGGGGGACAGGCATGGCATGGGGTTGATGGCACTTGATTGAACCTATAGCATCTTAAAAAGCTGTCTACCTATTTTGGTTTTGCTGAACGCTATTAAGCTCAAACGATTTGACGGGCTCGTTGGTGTAATGGTGGTTACAATCAACGGGTCGTGGATTTGATCCCCGCCAGGTCCCCACCAATTTTTCTCAAATATGGTAACTTCTTGTATAATAATATAAACTTTTAAACCCTTTTTTGACCCGTCTCCAATATTCGTTGTGACAATATCTGTTGTATTATATTAATAAATATTTTCCGAACACCAGAATGAACATGGATTTGAAATGGTCAGAGACCGGCGACAGATATCTACTGAAATTGTTCCGCGACTACGTCTTCCACTCCGTGACTCCCGAGGGCCGTCCATGGCTCGACCTAGCCCATGTTGGTTATTGTCTTAATAACCTAGACAGTGGCACCAACACCCAGGTAAGAATTGTGCTTGATGTCAGGCATGTAAGTAAACGCTACCCTTCTCTATACCTTTACATTGTCACTAATTTCACTGATGCATTTTTTTAATATCCTACCTCATGACACGCATCGGAGCTTATATATTCTAAACACGTTGTAATGCATTGTTTGAAGTGATCCTAATTTCTAGTTTAACAAGTGCCCCAGTACCCAAACATTCCGGCCCTCATACCCACTTTCCGCGCAGCTTAAGCCCTTAAACAAACCTCCAGAATTATAGGCACGATCAAGAACACTGCACTTAAAAACATATATGGGACTTTTTTTTTTATCTCTTACACTGATCTCTTGTTGAAGTTACAGGTCCCCTAATCTCCATACACGGCATTGGAAAATTACATTGTTTCTCTCCAGCAGGGCATAAATGTCCAATAATATGATAAAATGTAAATCGACACTTGTCACTTGTTTCACACAAATCTGAAATAATTCACACCTTCAAAATGACATTTTTTAAAATTCCTTCATAGACGTGATCCACATTCAAATTGTGTCACACACACTCATTTTTTTTTAATTTCAACAATTTATTATATTTGTCAAATATAGCCATTAAATTAGTTAAATTTAATTTTTATCGGATTTAATTGGTAAAAATAAATGGTAGTAATAAGTATTTATGATTGAAAATTTTAACAGCGTTAAATTGGTAATCAAATATTTCGATAAAATTTAAATTGTTTTTATAAAATACACTATGGCCCGTTAAAGACGAACATGCTTAATGCGATTTTACGCATAATTCACCACTTTTCGCCAGTCACAGCAACATACACGATTTATATAGGTTTATACGATTCCTCATCACGTTTCATACGCCCGAACCGAACCGAAAAATTCGATATTGAACATTTTCCACATAAGATAAGCGTCATTAAGTTTAAAGTAGTGTAAAGAATTGTCGGTCGTTTTTTACCTGTTTCTAATTTACGTACCATTTTAAAGAAGGTGTTCAGAGAAAAATAGGAAAGTTCGATAAATTGACAAAGAGTGGTCCTACAATATAAGCGGGTAAAAAAAGATTCAAATCTTTATCTCAAACCAAAATAAGTCATTGTTGTAAATAGCATCATACTCACGTAATAAGGTGTCGTACGTTATATCCCGCTTAAGACGCGCTTTTGGTGTGGTGCTTGAGAAATCGTCTTAAACGGGTTTTACTGTATACATGTAACCATTTATAGCATAGCATTCGCATTCTCTTCATTTTAATGCACCATTGCAGGCTGGCGTCTAGCATGTCAAATTAGGATGGGCCTTTGTGAATAATATGTTTGCTTGTGTTTTTTTACGTTGAAGGTATGTATTGCCCACAGCTATTAAATTGTATGCATTTCCCTTCCTTTTCTTTGCACTTGCTATTGCTTTTGAAAAGTAAATATTCTTGAATATTCACTGTAGTTTAATAGATTTTAGATTGTAAAAAAATTCCGACACGACTTGATCCGGCATCCACGGCGTGGTGTTTTTCTAAGCGATTGAGATACCGTGTCCTACAACATCGTCGTCGATTTTTTTCTTTGCGTTCAATGTCTTATACACTGCAGTTTAAATCATTGTAGATGAAATTGTAGAGTTTAACGATTAAAAACTATAATAATTTTCACGTTGTTACTCATATTGTTATCATTATAGTGTTCAAGTCCTGCCTGTGTCGTAATTTTTTTCCCATATTAAAATTTACAAACACTTTTCAATATTACATTGGAAGCAAAGCCTTTTTGAGCGCCTTCCACTTCGTGTTATGAGCTATTAGGTCGGAATTTCAACATTTTCATATTCTATTCACGTCTAGGTGCAGTTGTTAACTCGCGACGAGCGCAGCTTGCTACTAGTGACGTTTGCCGAGCTAAAGCATTGTCTCGAGCAGGCGTTTGAGGAATTAACACAAGCCGCCACGCCTTCTCCCTAACTCGACGTCCCGTATAATACACGATAAGATTGTAAACATGAACTATCAACGCAGGTTAAGACCTCGCTACTTATTTTACAATCTTACAACTTGACTTCAGTTGGTTTGAAATGGACTATAAATGTTAGTGCTAAGTGTAACTTTTGTTCAACACCATTGTTAAATTAAGCTGCCACACAGGGTTGAGCCAGAGGTCTGACGTTGAAATTCTTAGTTTAAGATTTTTCTATCCTTTTTTTTTCATATACACATAGTTTTCTTATTATTTTTACATTACTACAATATATATAAATACTCGATGATATTGTCCATTATGGTCCGTAGTAAAGATTACTAAGGGCCGGACACAGTGACAGTGACGATTAATATTTTGAGTCGGACTTTCGTGTCCACTAGAAGTCACATCACTTTTCTTATTCATAAGTCGTAGTCGACCTTCCTTTAACGCTTGTACAACGTACTGGGTTGATATTGAATAAATAAAGTTTTAACACAAATTTTTACGCCTAGGCCAAATGGCCGTAATCGAGCTACCATAATTCAAAAAGGTTGCTTTTTATTGCATTGCATGCAATGTTGTTCCTTTAAAAAAAAATCAAAATAAAATTAACAAACATATTATTGTCTTTCGGGCTGTTCGGCCGATGTGAGCGAGAAGAGGTTCTCGACGTTTCGCCATCACGTGTGGACGGCATCTTCAGGAGATGTTGACTCCTCGATTGCTCGAAGAATTGTTCGAGCAATCGAGGAGTCAACATCTCCACACGTGATGGCGAAACGTCGAGAACCTCTTCTCGCTGACATCCGCCGAACAGCCCGAAAGACAATAATATGGTGATCGATGGCCGTGAAAGCCTTACTCAATTTATTAAAATTAACAAACACAAACGGGTATAAAAAAACCCTCGAACAGCGCAAAAAGACATGTACAAATTATAAGGAAATTTGACTACACTTTGTTGTTACTATTAGATAATTTATATATATTTTTTGTTATAGATCTCACTTTATATATTACAAACTGAAATGCAACGTGAATGAAAGAATGTATTGAAACTTGATCTCATTTCTAGGGTTTGTTATATACAAAATGAACTATGAATTTTTTTCGTACGACGAGGGTGGTACAGTACGATATAATTACGGTTTGGGTGTTATTTACAGCCGCCCGAACAACCATTACAGACATTCCAAATAAAGGAAATCATTTGACGAACGACAACCAAAAAGTATTGTGGTCGTTACAAACAACCTTTTGACTGTCTATATGAAATATTTAGTTTTAAGCATAACTATATGTACGTACCCAAAAACTATGGATTTTCCATATTTTTTTACAAAAAAATCCAAAATTATTCCAACAAATTATATATATATTTAGATTTAATTTTGGATTTTTTTGTTGGAAAGTTTTAAGTTTATTGGAAAAGCGTCATTCCGTTAATATAATATGACTATCGCATAGGTCTGGATTTTTATTAAACATTTTGTGTACATCAATTAAAACGAGGCGGAGGTTTTTTGGGAGTTTAGTACAAATAGCAGACTGCCTTTTTATCAGACAGCTGAAAAGGCAATACGCTCATGTCTTGCGCACATCTTACATCACTGATAGAAGTTCTGACCTATTTTATTTTGTCTATGTATTAACATTAACAACATTTTAAAACCATTTTGAAACCTCTCTTGATTACATAAACTTCCCCTGGTGGAGACTATCTTGAGTTCGATCCGAAGTTGTATCGAGCTGCAGGTACATGGTTTTTCCCTTTTTTTAAATATAGTTGTTTATACAAAAAATTGTCTTTTATTTTGTAAACGACTGCCTGTTTACTTATATTATAGAGCTTTGAGATTAAACTAGTTTATCTAATGAATACTCCCGTATTAACAGGCTTTGTAGTATGTAACTGTAAACATGGTATTTGATAAAAATAAAAACACGATTTTTGTAAAAATATTTATTGTGATTTAAAATTTTATTGCCATTAAATATATTTGTTCAGTGCTAATACTGAACATGCAATACTATATAATAATTAAAGATCCCGCGGAGGGTCTATAAATAATGTGATTACGTAATTGCGATTTATTATGCATTTATCCATTATAATTCGAAAAGTCAGTCAACAATTTAACATTGAATATAAATTGCACAACATCCTACATTAATGTGATAACCGTACGAGAAAATATTATGCAAACAGCAACATTGCTACGAACTTTCCTTAATCATATTGAGGCCGAAAGCTGTTATCTACCCACATTATACGTAATATCAATATATAATTAAATTTTCTATTTGGTTAATACATTACTAAATTGTAAAGTTTAAAGATTAAAATTCACCTCCGTCAGTCCGAGTCAACTATATATTGCTCTAAAATAAACATTAGCATAATATAATAACTTACGTCAATAAACAATACGTCAAACAGCATTACTTTTAAATTCTCTAGCTTCTATTCATTCCACTTGTGAACATAATACGAACAATTTCTACTGTCATGGGTAAGATCTTATGTTAAAGTAAGGCCAACAAAACGATTACGGATTCAAAAGTTTTACTTGACACAAAGATTCGCAACAGGAGCTACCATCGTAAATATACTCCATGAGATAAATGTTAGGTAAATATATACTTATATATACTTGAATTACTTCGATGTAATTTGATTGGCCTTACTGAGATTAGAAATATGGACATATATAATAGAATTTTAAAAATCGAAATATATAATGTATTCACTCTTATACTTAGCAGCACTGACAATACTTATTGTTTGGTCTCTCATTTCTCATAGTTGGATTAACGCTACGTTGTAATCCCTATGAACTTGTGATGGATATATGAATTAGGAGCGAGGAAAGCTCCAATTCCTCAGAGTAACCATTGGTCAGTATCACACTTCTGTAACCGGTGCGGAGACATTTGAGAGGATACACCGCTTGCCCGATGAAGTTAGGATCGCCGAAAACGTCTTCGTCCTGCACTAAGAACCTTATCAATGCTAAATCTGGGTTCTCCACGTCGAATTCGCATATGTCGTTCCATATTGGGTTTATTCCATTGTCGGCTGCAACAAATGTAAATATTAATTTCAATGGGTATTTTTGAGGCTGCTAGAGGCAGAGTGGCCTAATAACAAAAAACAAGATTTTTGCTTAGGCGACAATTAATTTGTACTATTATTTGTGTAAGAATTGTTAACAATTTTCGGTCACTGTGCTCTTGTAGATCCACATTTTTATACTGAAAATATAAATACCTCAATTTGCAAAATTGCGGTTAAGCTACTCTACTTCTAGCGGCCTTAATTCATGATATAGCAATTTTAAATGAGTGTAAGCTCTACAATAGACACATGTATACTTTGTCCTTTATCTGATAAATTTTAAATGCATGCAAGTGACGATCATGATCAAAAGTTACATCTTAAACGGGACTTAAACAATACATCTAGAAGCACAACACACAAGAAAGTACACACAGTTAAATAGTCAACTGGTCGTGGGTCCGATCCCTACTGGGTCCATATGTTTCTAAACGCGGGTGTTGCGAATATCTCAATTCCGTCTGGGTCACGGACCACCGTCCCCACACATGATAAAGCCGTGAACTTGAATCGCACAGCACACTGCGGAAGTCCGATTGCTAATCCAAAATAGATAGATATTTTATAGCTGATAAAATGTAAGACTAGAATCCTCGGTTCAACGAACTTACCTACAGTCTTGGTGACAAGTTTGACACCAGTATCGTAATCAGCACCCAAAATCTCCACCTCCACGAACGGGCTCGCGGTGCCACGGCCCGTCTTGCACAGGTGCCGCGCGGCAATCACCCTCAACTTGACCGTCAGAGGCTTCACTTTGTTATCTATACAACGCTTGTCGTATGGGTTATAGTTCTCCTCGTTCATATAATCCGGCTTCAGTATATACCCACATCCGCCGTTCTCTTTGAATTTCCCCATATTCACTTGCATAGCCTTATCCGGAGTTTGGTAGTTGAGCGCTACCATTTGTGAGCCGGCGTTCCAAAACGGCATCGGGTTGTAATTGGACGAGTCGATCCGCTGGCCCTTCGGGTATATCCTGCTGAGTTGCACCGCGTGGTACTTCATGAAGAACGCGGTTTCTTGCTGGCACATGAGGCGTTCAGCTTTCGTCTCCGGGAAGGAGGACATCTCGTTGAATATGAAGCCTTTGTTGCGGATCCTCTCCTGGTTGAAGGCAACGGAGCGGCAGTACACAATGAGATCCGACATTTCTTTAGCGATACGCCAGGTTCGCTCCATCTTCCTGTGTTGCAAGGAGCGGGCGCTTGCGGAGTGCGCCGCTTCTTTTATAGCTGACAGCCATTCTAGGGCTATCTCCCTAGTGGGTGCCGCCATGTCAAAGGGGGCGCACATGGATGGGCTTTGAATGCGAACGATCCAACGAGCTGATCCACTTTCTTCACCGACCACGAGCTCCACTACGGCACCTAACACGTCCACAACTCCCTTTTGCAAGGAACCCAGGGCGGAGTCGTTCTCCAGGCATGCCTATTGGGAAAAAGTATGTCTATAAACAACTGTACCTCAATAATTATATAGTTGCATCTAGTTTTATTTGTTTTGTATTTTTGTGATATTGATACATCAATCAACCATACATGGTTTTCCTTATCTAATATGTGATGTTAGTTGAATCTATTTAATTATTGTTTTACTAGCTTAAAGTGGATAAAATCAATAAATAATTTAGCCTAAATTAGTTATTATCTAGATGCTTATGCTGGAAGAAAAGTAAGAAGTTAACACTCACTATATTAGGCATATGGGGAATCTCGATCTCTTGCACGTAATTAGCGGGGAACCAATGGTGCTTCTTGCCGCCGTAGTCACCTCGCCACCAGCCCTCGTCCGGTTTATCGACATTTGTGATTATAGCGTGCTTACAAAACGACAATTCGTCGTCTTGCCTCGCTCGATAGTCGTATAGCGCCTTGACTGTCACCTACAGTAGTAAAAGTAACATCTGTATTAATAAGATGAACCCAAAAAATGTGATAAAGAATAAGTCAGAATCTGCCGTACCCAAATGACTGTAACGATTTTGATAAAATTTTGCAGTCAATACAGCTGACACTTTTGGATAACTCACCAACTATTTTTATTCAAAAACGTAGTCTTGTTATACATGATTTTTTTTCCGTAGATTTAGTTGTTATTAATAGGATAAAAAGGTGAAATAAAGCGAAAACTGAGGAAATCTACGTCTACGTTTCAATATAAAACAAGCGCCTTTCTAAAATATATAATTATATATAATTTATACATTGAAATAAAAAAATATAATACCGGTTTCACTTGTTACCTCCATAATTGTAGTAGCTGCGCACAAAATACATACTCAAATATTGATACTGCCTCGCTTAGACAATTCACAAACGCTGCACTAAATCAGCCTAAAATTAGGGTATCTTTCAACTTACGTTACGGATTTACACTACGATTTCTGCCCGCTACAAGGAAGAATTTATGTTCAAAAATCGAACAGAACAGATTAACGTTGTATGTAAATATACTGTATGTAACACCTGAGTATCGACAGAAACTCGGCCAAGGCCACTGAACCAAAGCCAAAAATTGACGACGATTACTAGCAAATATAATTTTGAAACACCAGTACAAAATTAAGTAGTTTACCTACACATTGTAATTAACTTTAGTGTCTTTGTTTTCTACGTGTTAAACTAACTACTACTACTATTATTTTCGATAGACGTTGTACAGTAAGATGCAGGCGCAGGAGTCGTAAATTCGATCCCCACCGGATTTAACATTTTTCTAATCAATTTATTGTTTTTCTGAAACATGTTGGACTATACTGGAAGTTGGATATTAAATGGGAGGTAGGGATATCCAAATTCCGTCCAGACCACAACTTGCCATGCATAGATGAAAGTTTAGACGTTATATGGCTGGAGTATTTCATCACCACCAAGCCGTACCCCATGTTTGTTTGTCATCCTTTATCATGAAAAAAGTACAATACACTGGTTGAGTAGTAGTAGTGGACAGAGAATCGTAAGTATAAAAAAATTCACTAGCCGTAACGTAAGTCAATCGACACAACTCATCTAGTTCCTACGTTAAGCTTTCCACAACCGTAGCCAGGTTTTTCGTCTCTTTCAACTTATAAGAATAAATAACCTCAATAAAAGAGATCTCCAAACGTATTTGGTGTTCTCGTTTCAATACCGAGGAATGATTAAAAATGTGCTCTATATAAACTGGGTGAATTGTATCATCTCAGTTCATAAGTAATAAAAAAATATGTGTAAGAAGAGACAAAATAAGAGATTTAGTGTTGAACAATCAAGAGATATTTAAGAAGTACATGACACGAATGTATATGTGTTAAGGTCGAAATGAAAAGCTGAGAATTATGATATAGATAGTGTTGTGTTGTAGAGGTTTATGCGATTACAACACAATTAAATGAAACACTTAAAAACGTTATAAAACGCGAAGTGTATTAATTAAATTTATTTGTTACTTATTTTAATCCCAGTGACCACGGCTGCTACAAAACATTTGACACATGGGATCGTCGTTAAAATTAATAATAAATAAGTTTAACTAATGTACCTAGTGTTTTAAACCTTCGAGATACAGATAGAACACCATAGATAGATTAGTTGCAGAGCATCAAAAGGCAGTGTGTTAATCGTTTTGTTTTCCTCCCCCCTAAATTTATTTTTATTCGATTTTCATCTGAAAATAGTATTGAAGTGTTTTCAGTCGCAATTTCAACTGAAACACATTTACATCCATAGTAATGCCAACGAAAAGAGATAAAAAAATGAAACAACCCGACCGAGTTTTATATTTTATCTTTTTTTATGTTCCATCGTTTATATGTTTATAGTGCAGCTTTTCAACAACAGATGCCGTTGTGTGATTCATAGTACAACCGGTCAGTACTGAAATTGTTAACATAATACGCCATTTTGTAACAAAGCAAACAAAAACTTTTTGAACCACAACTTGCGTTTACATTTTTATCTCGCTTCGACGGCTACCATATTTAGTTTCAACCTCCAACCTGTCTACGGCCATAGAGCTACTAAAATATGCTACTAAACAACTATGACATTGTGAAATCTCACCGAATCACCGAATCAAATTGCACTCGACGTCATTGAGGCTGTTGTGTGAAAGATTGTTAATTAGAGTTAAAGAAACAAGAGACCGTCGCACCAACTATAGCTAAGTTTAGTTACCTACGCAAGAAGAATGGAACAAACAAAAATTGCCCAAGTATTGATATGTTTGTATGTATATACTTTACCTTGGAAGGAAACGATGACGGGTCCATATAACCTGGAGTCCCGTATACCGAGCTGTCATCGGGCTCCTAAAAACATATCATTTTAAAGCTACAAAAACTATAAGAGCGTAGGGAAAGAAAAAATGCTCGTAGTGGGTTATTTTGTATAATAAACGATTAAAATGATGTTCGTCTAAAAGTTTGCTAATAATAATAATGTGTGGCTAATAATTAGTCGACGAGTCGTGGGTTCGACCCCCACCAGATCTATAATTTCAGATTTCAGTCTGTGGATTTCCGAATATCCAAAGGCCAAATAGATTGACAGCGCATCCGGCTGTTATTTGGTTCGGGTACCTCCCGTCCATCGAGTGAACACCACGTTTGTCTGTCTTCTTCTATCGTAAAAGAAATATGAAAATCTATACGATTTGAGAGTCGAGAGATGGAGCGATCCCTTACGAGTTGACAGATGTTATAAAAGTATTACAACAAAACTTGGATAAAGTTCAAATCAGAGAATTTTGTTTTACAAGTTTTAGTGAATTTAATGGCATTTAGTACATTAATTTTGAGCTTTTTTTTATATTTTAACCCACAATTATTTGTCTCTCCATAATATATGTTTGACATAGAAATAACAATTATATACAAATAAAACTTACCGTTATCAATCTCCTCACGATATCTTCGCTTATCGGGAACCAAAGCTTAACCTTCTTATACAGTGGATGTTTCTCGTAATAAGATACCAGCTCTACGAGACTCTCAAATTTAACCGTGCCTATTGTGTACAGACGTCCTTCCTGTTTAATCCTGCAGTGTTTGATTTCCCTTTCCGTTCTACAATAAGAAATAATAATAAGAAGCTTAATTTGGAATGAAACTGAATCTTTAGTGACCATCAAAGGCTACGTATTGCATGAACTAGAGAATTTATTTGGTCCAGAGAATAATGAAGCTTCGTTCTTATAATGTCTTCATTATCTTAAATATCTCCAAGAGAATTTATGATTATGATATACGACAGACGAAGAAATAATAGTGAAGGGGCTTAAGCTTTGCATACAAGAAATACATCAATTTAATTTTTAAAGACTTGCTTAAAAAACCACTGATAACGGTTTAAGACGCCAAAATATATTAAAATGACCGTAATTGAATTTTTTTTCGGTGCCTTTGGACGCAGGGTGATGATTTATAGCCTAAGCTGTCCTCGATAAATGTTCTAACCAACACAAAAATATTTTTTTGATTGGAAACCAATAGTTTCTGAGATTAGCGCTTTTAAAAAAAAAAAACTCTTCATCGTTATCATTTTAGTAAAGATGACAGTTAATTTAAATTTTACTACGACCAGGCGTTTCGAACACTTCACAAATATGGTCACGTACGGACTTTTCTAAAATAATGTGTGTCGGTTTCTCTTGATTGCTATAACCGAAAGTAAATATACCTGAAGCTTATGGCGTAAGAGCCTTGTTCCTTTTCGCTGGGTCGGACGAGAAACGCGCCATCTGTGTTTGCTTTACGTAAAAGCTCCTCGGCTTGCGCACGAGTGCAGTAAGGATGGTACCATTCTTTGCCCTCATGCTTATTTGGCTGGGGGACCGGTTCTTTCAAGGTTATCAAAAACTCCTATAAGAATGTTTTGCATTATTAGAGAAAAAGAAAAAAGCCAGACTGTGTTTCTTGGGCGTTATTCTCGGTCATGTTGCTCTTTTCAACACTATGTAGAGTCACGACGGACAGACAGACAATAGTTTTTAATTTTTTTTGAGAAATCTAAATAATTTTTAAATTTTAAAGAAAATCAAGTATTTTTATTTTATTTTTGAAATAAGGGAAGTAATTGTACATACATATTTTCGCCTTCTGTGTTAGTTATGGCACAGATGAAACATTTTTCTGTTTCCTCGTGATTCGAACCCAGGTTCTCCCGATCCCATCTTATTTAGGACAATGCGTAATTACCTGACTCCGGAGTGGATGCTGCCGATAGTGTGTTATCAAGCTGTACAAGCTATCAAAGCATACTGTATCAATTAGATAATATTTTGTGATGCCCCTCTCCTGCTTCAACTTAATGCGACAGTGGTTCACTTTGCCTTGCCTCCAAAAGGAAAGGCAATAGTCCCCAACAAATGTGACGCTCTCACGAACAAGGAATGTACCATCACCTAGATGGGAATGTGCCCTTAGGAGGTCTTCCGCCTCCTGCCTGTTACCAGCCAGTTTACCATGGAACCAACATTCGCTGAAGTGTAATTCATCTGGTGGTATACTAGTAGTGTCACTCTCTTGCTCACCGTCGCTATCTATATCTGTCTCGCCCTGTGTGCTGTAATGCTCTGTATAATAAAGCTTATTCTCTGTTAGCACAAACGCGTGTGGGTTCCACTCTTTATCGACCGGGTCTTCAAGGAGAAGGATTCCATTTTTAATTGTGTTCCTGAGATCTAGATCTTTCCCCTCTTCTTGGCGGACCGCGAACGAGTTCTCTTCCGCACCTTCGGGTAGTTTCTTGTGTTTCAATATGATCTTCTTGCGTAGATCGTGAGGCGACGGCAGGCTCGTCTCGTTCTTTTCACACGGATGTATGAGCAGCATGTCACCGAAGACGTCTTGAAATGCGCTGGCCATTCGGCGTTGCTGCGGTAAAGAGCAATTGTCCTCGATAGACAAAATTAGTGGAAAGTCTGAAGTTATAAATGCGTGCTCTTTTATAGTTCGCAGCACATCCATGAAACGTATCTTGGTGGTGAGCGTGTGGCCGTGGTAGATGAATGGTGTGCCGTCTGGACCGTCCCAGCAGTCCAGTTCGATGCAACGACAGCCGGATCTTAGGCAGCGCACATACGCCTCAATAGATGACTCGCTCGAAAACTGGTCCCCTGTTAAATAACTGAAAAATACATTGTTATTTTGCGCTATGTATCTACACTTTTTTTAACCTCATTCAAGATGGGTTAATTTATAGCAAATAATAAGAATATTTAAGTCTCAATATTGTTATAACAACAAGAAATAAGTTAGTGGAAACTAAAACAAAATGTGCAGTTATTTGACCCAATTGTATTGAGGTGTCGAAATTAGCTTCGTATATTTTTGAATTCGCTGATTTTGCCCATTCAAAGTACAGTAACTCAGCATTGAGTAATATGAAATTATAACGATTGCGACACAGTTCATAGACCGGCTTGTAACAAAATAATATTTTAAATGTTATACAGAAATACGAAATTTTCATGTTAGCAACATTATTGCTTACAGCACAATTTATAAACACTTACGTGTTGTGTGATGATGAAATCCAGTAGTGGGCAAGAGGCCTCGTCATATCTTGAGTAACAAAGTCATGTCTACTATCCCAAAGAGTATTTTGTTTGGAAAATAGCATTTCAACAAACTAAAAGATAAAATTTACACAAATATATGTAATGTACATCTAGTATCTTTGACTTACTTATAAATAATGTCATTATGTTAAAATTGAGTGTTTATATACATTTTAAGCACAATGCAACACTTGACCTATATCCTTTAAAGTCTTCTTACATCAAAGAATACAAAGGCCCTCTAATAATGCAAGATGTTATCACTTACTTCGTGCAGTGTAAAATAAGGTTCATATATATCCCTCTGTGGGTCCCGTAGATAATCTCGAATAAATTGTGATGTACAAGCCTCGTCTTCACCCAGTCTGTCATGTTGTTCCAAAAGGAGAAATCTTTGGAATTCATGTAATGATATATTGGTGCCATTTGCACAATAAGAAGAGTATTTATTGAAGAGATCATGAACATTCTGAAGCAAAATATTGAAAAATTTGTAGAAAATTCTTAGTTGCAAAGAAAATTTAAATTATTTAGTCATCTTGTTACTACTGCATCAGTACTTACATTTTCATCAAATATTAACTTGTGATACAGAATAGAGAAATCATCAAAACCAATTTCCCCCTTTTTGTTATTATCGACTTCTTGAAATATATCCCTCAGTTTACTTGTAGATATTTTACAGTTTATTTTTGGTAAAAATGCTTTCACTTCTTTTAGGGTTATCCTTAAATTAAAGTAGATTTTTACTGTCAGTTACCTACTACACCTTATCATTGTAATTATTACGAAAGAGAACGTAATTTTTTTTTTCCTAAAATAATTAATAAACAAATCTAAAATCTACTTGGGCATTCCTTTATCTCAAGTCAGACTTAGATGCCGAAATAATTTTTTAAAGATCATTTTCAGTTTAAAAATTTAAAGGAAAATATCCAAAACCAATACTTAACTTACTTCTCGTGTGGATTTTCAATGGCATAAAATTCTTTTCTTAGCCACCTCTCGATTTGCAATGGATAAGAAGCATTCACAGCTTCCTCGATAAGGAATCTTATTCCCTTTATCCAAGCTTCAACCTCTTTATCCGTCTGAGCTAAAATGTAAACAGGCTAATTTGAAATTCAAAACAGTATATTTGCCAAGAGGCAAACTCAAACAATTGCATTCATAACCTTGACCATGCAAAATAAGAGGGCTTACAGTAACAGTCATAAAAATTCAGCTCTATTTACATAACAGATTCAGTCTTTTTCATCAATACTATAAACAAGTGTGTATTTGTATTATATAGGTGATTAATTGAAAAATTAAAAAATAAAATTAATAAAAAGTCTTTCTTATAACTAGAAGTTTAAAATAATTTAAACAAAATGATTAATAATAACTAGTATTTGAAGATGTTCATTTTCATTAGGAGATAAAAAATAATTTACTGACCTGCAAATGAGGCAGACCGCAACTTGAACTCTGTCCCATAATATACTGTAAAGCATTTAGAACTCTCCAGTCTCTTGGTTTCCTCTGGCCAGCGTTCGAAATCTTTCGAGGATTTACCCACCCGCACTTCTTTGATGTCTCGAATATCCAAAGCACCTTCGTATGCATGACGTTGTGATGATCCATTTCTACACCAAATGACTTGGTGCGTTTCTCGGCGGACTAGGAGGGTCCTGCGCTCAGGTCGCTTTCGTGGAAAAAATTTAAAGACCGTGGAACCACGCTCTATGTAGGAAATCAGTTGATCTGCTTCATGGATAAGTCTATCATTGACACCATTGTAGCAGACTGAATTCATTGCACTTCCTGTCCCAGCCACCTATATGTGCGAAAGTCTTGACTGAACTGTGAAAGAAATGAGTGATCTCCATGTGATAAATACATTTTACAACACCTATAATATATTAGGAACGGCTGTATCGCGAAGTGTATAGTGCTGTGAAGTGTTTTGAAAACAGTGGTTGTTTATTTTCTACGTACCGAAATTTAAAATATTTTTGATAATCTTAATACTTTATTGTATACAATAGACATTGTAATAAGTATTTTTTATTCGTACCTTTATTTTAAATACAGACACTTCACCCACACTCAACAATTCACATCTCGATCAATTCGATTTTACATTTTTTGTCAATGTCATATTCATGTCAGCTCTAGGCTAGGCTATTAATGTGACGTTAGATCACCGTAGATTGAAACGCCGCTAAGAATTATTATTGGAAGAAGAAGAAAGTTAAAAAAATGTTCAAGCACCTACTGTTACAAGAAAGTATTGGCAATGCGAAATTATGTTATTCGAAAAATTACTTCTATTTAAATTACTAAATCTAATTTTTACTATGCTTTAAAACTTTGACTTTTTATAAAAAAAAGGTATTATAATCATCCTCCTTTCTATGTTTAATATTTAATTACAATTTATTTAAAATTAAATTTCGGTTTCATTGAAGATAGCTTACAAAAAAAGATGTATAAACTAAATCAATTCTATAGCGAGTCGATAGTTTCTACTTCACTTACCTCTGTAGTTTATAAGTACCTACTGTGCGTTTATCGTGGTCCGTGCTGCGACTTTTATACATTTTTATCGAGGGTTTTTACATTGATTTTTTTATTTACTCGTTGTTGACTTTTACGGAGTTTTGTCCTGAATAATTATCAGAAAATATATGACATTACTACTTTCGTACAATTAAAGTTACAAGATGAGAAACATTACGGCAACATATAAATGGCTGTGTATTCCAAGGGCTAAGTGCTTGACAGTGTGGAAGTTTTAAATTGAAATGTTTTTGTTCAATAATGTGATTATGGACACTTCAAATGGAAGGAAACTATTTCTAGTCTTAATTGTAGCCATAAGTCAGTGGTTTCAGTTAGTAAATGGTGAGTAAATTTTCTGGAATATTTTTAAAAAGTCTTTATTCTCGTCGTAAATAATAATATTGCTATGTACTATTAATATAATATGAGCATCAGATGTTATTGTAGTAGTCTATCTTTGCACTCGGTACTTGTCTATACATAAGTTGTAGATGTCTAGGTGTATTTTCACTTAATTAGAGTAATATTATTTATAATTATTGCTGCATAAACATTGCTTTTTTTTCAATTATGTTATTTTGAAACAGGATATACAATACAATGCACATGTTTGAATTATTATAAGTAGATGCTTGTTCTGGATATACGCAATAAATGCTGTCTCTTGAAATCTCAAAGTACATATTTTAGTTTGCTTGGAGATCTGATTTTTTTACAATACTAAACTCGCTATAAAACTTCAAATTAAAATAGTGATTGTATCATTACATTGCCCGGACATAGACATGTGTGTAGTAGGATCCAAGCAACCAAGCAGTAGAGATCCTGGATTCAAATCTGGTAGATAATAGCTTCATAAAACTCTGATAATTCGACCATTATCTGTAAACAATAACAAATAGCAGATGGAAGAGACAAGATTTAATGTCACACAGCTTTCACATATTAATTTTGTAATATTCATACCAACATACTTCTCTTCCACCGATAACCATGTGGTTATATGTTTATTTAAAATATTAAGTTCTTTGGTTATATATACCAACTGTGAGCAACTGTTTTTTGATAAGTTATATAAAATTTTAGGATTGAAGTGTTACTGCAACAGTGACAGTTCAAGTTGCAGACCAAACTCAACATGTATCACCGATGGCTTTTGTTACGCTTCCACTATGATCGACCATGGGGTTCAGAAATATACCTATCAGTAAGTATACACTTTACTCATAAAGGAAACAGTTTATAACAAATTGATTTAAGTTTGAATGCCAAGTGGGGCTTATCTATAATTTAAGACACTTGTTTAACCATTATTTCTGTAAAGCACAGTACAGGTAAATTAGGGTGTGAGGTACATATTTCTAGTTGCAAATACAGTTTTGAAAGGCAATTAATGTTTTATCTTAATATTTATTCTGTTACAATTGGCAAGTCATCAACACAAATCTGTTTTAATATATTTTAATCAAATCATTGATCTGTAGAGAGGTGGCCCTAAACTGTTTGCAAGGCAAAGCCTTCCCCCCTGTGTATCCAATGATATGCAGAGATCCAAGATATTATTGCTGTACAAACGATTACTGCAATACAGATGAGATTTATCGTGAGAAATTTTTGAAACTTCTCCATGAATCAACGATGGGTAAGAGATTCCTACGCACTTGTGGGCGTGTGACAACTATCTAGCAGACACGGATTTTTGAGTTTGTCGTATTTCTAGAAGCATAATTGCATAATTGCCTTGTCATTTATGACCCATAAGTTTTGTGTTGAAATGCCAATATTCTAACAAACATGCTTTTGACTTAGTTTGAATATGTACCTACTAAGCGAGAGAGTCTGGCCCTTAAGTATACTGTTATTTTGTATTGAATGATGTGTAATCTTAACACGTACTATTTTTGAGTGTGCATTGCGGTTTTGCTTTAACATACTAAACCTGTATGGTGATTCCACTTGCGGTGCAGCTGTATCGAGCTGAAAGCTTTGATACCCATCGAGCACCCCTTCAGTTGCTCCTCGACAAGAACTCGAAATGAATCGGTGATGATTGAATGTTGTAACTCCCACGACCTTTGCAATCGGGAGCTGCGTTTGGAGATACAATCGAAGTCCCAAGGTAGGCGCTACGTGGAGGTAGTGCACTCGATGTGCAGCTAATACTGCAGCTTGCTATTTTGCCGCTAGACTCAATTAATACTATAGGCGTAGCATTTTGCTGAGACGGGCCTATGACCGCTGAAGGGACAAATCGTATTGAAATGCGAGGACATCCAGAAGATCCAGCGCTAACAGAGTTCTTAGAAAGAGACAGTATGAGTTGCCCTCCTTCTGCCAGTTTGCTACGCCTAACTCAATATGTCACTTCGCGTTGTCAAGATTTGGTTTGGGCCGCACAGCAGCATGGCTGTTTGAGTGTTTTTTTTCTTTTTTAAATCTAATTTACTAATTACTTCCTTCTCTAGTATACCGGCATTGATCACCGCTAAATTTGGACTTTATTAACTTCTGCATTTATGGTATAGATGTTGGCACCAAGACACGATATTCCCTCCTGGAGATAGACCCATATGGTGTCGCGAGGATGAGTCCCCCGATATATTTTGCTGCTCCACGGACTTCTGTAATAGTCAATTCTTTCCAGGTACGGAAATTGCTAAAATTGTGTCGTCCGGGCGTCCATATGGGTTAGCTTTGTACTGTGATGTCTTCGTAAGCGTAATGTTTGGTGCAGTAGTTATGATGACGAATGATTAAATACAATATGTTACCCACATCATTTCACTACACTGCCATTGTTTAATGATTATCGTCATTAGAATAACAGAGGAAACTCATCGCATGATAAGAGATACGAGAGATTATACCGTAAAGAGGGGACGACTATAGGACCCCCTTAAATAACTCAGTTTAAAATATTATTTTTCTGTACATGTAATCTTCATGCTCAAAATTGGTGCGTCCGATGATAAAAAAGTTAACATATTATAATCTGTGTTCAAAATCACTAATACATCCGTGACGTCATATGATTTGTCTTTCATGTTATTTGAATTTCACAGTATATACTTGTAGCTTGGAAACTAGGAGCGGTTAGACGTCAAATAATGCGAGAGGTTTTACGTAGCTCGATAAGCATATTTCGAGGAATAAGTTGCGTTAAACGGGATAGAATTAAGTATAATGTGAGTGATCAGACGCCGGTTTTTCTTTTATTTTCAGCATGGTTTTACTTTTCTACTAATAAAATGCACTACACTAATTTTGCTAAGTTTTCCAAGTTTGTTTTAACTCGACTCACTAACACTGTGTTACTATTACAAATGGGTTATTTTAATCGCATGCATCGAGCACGAATTTGAATTTTACTAAACACCTACTAACCCCTTTTTCTTTTGATGATTATTCAATTAAGTACTGGTTATTAGGCTGTATCCCAAATAAATATTATTTGATTGCTTCAGTTGACTTTGCATGCACAAAACCAAAGGTCTTCGCCGCGTTAAATTAAAACTAGTAGCCATGTACCGTTTTTAATGAGTTCGGTTATGGTGTCGGGTTTTTTTTTTCGCTTTTTTATTGTAATTGAATCCCTGTAATGTGCTTCTAGTGTCTGTGGTTTGTGTAAACGAAAATATCAATTTAAAACAATAGCCCGCTCTTGTTCTCAATATGTCAATGTCTAATGTATTCCACCTGAATATGTGTTACCAGGTAACACTGAATGTATTTTGTCGCAAGCTCACTGCCAGCCCTTTTAGAATAATTATGTTAATGTTTTGCAAAGTATACAGAATATCTCAGTATTATGCTTTAGTGCAGACTTGTGAATATAGTGGATTACCTATCAAACAGTAAAAAGTGCTTGAATGCCTTTCTTACAACTACTTTAAAATGAATAACGTTGAGATATGCTTTTTGATGGCAATCCTAAAATGAAGCAACAGATACGTCAGCGACAGCATGGCAAGTGATACCATGGGTCATGGGGCTGATGGTCCTTGGGGTCTGCGCTGCGATAAGCGTGTGGCTGATCAAGAGGCCAGGCCGCAAAGAACACTCGCTACCCCTGTATACGTCAGAGGACACGTTTTGCGAGAGCCGTCATCCGATGATCAAGATTCGAGATATGATCGATCTTACCACGTCTGGTTCTGGTTCAGGTGAAGCATTTATTATATAAGTAGTTCAAAGACATTCAAAGAATACACATACAGAAATTATAAAATCATATAATAGGGTTACAATTGTCACATACACACACACCTACACAGTTAGGTCTTGCTGTAGCGCTGATTTTCAGTGATAACCCATGGATGACACTTAGACTGACAACCAGAAATAATGAGTTTTAAACCAACATAAACAAGTAAAATGTAATGTACTAATAAATCAAAATAAACATTAAACCTATGAAACAATATTTACTTTAAATACAACTAAAAATATGATTTTTTTCACCTACACGCCTTTAGCCACACAACAACATAAAGACTTATTTCTAAATATAAAAATTAAGATGAACATGTTAAATAAAACAGTAACAAAGTGTCAAAACCTAATCTTAACAGTATATCAATAAAACAAAATTATGTGCTGCATGTTGGTTGAATAGAATCTTGATCAGCTTAGAGGTCTTGTGAAACTGATTTTCAGTAAGTTCATGAATCGTGAACAGTGGTGTCACACGCAATTTCATTTAAAAATAATGTTTATCACTTGCAACCACAGACTATAATACATATATTAAGTTAAAAAGATAAAACTTGTTTTGTCAAATGTATTTAAAACAATCTTTGTTCGGCAATTGTTAATTATAGAAATAGTCCCCGCATGTTTTTGTTGATAATATCGTACTTATTTATCAGGCCTACCGCTGCTGGTCCAGCGTTCGATTGCAAGGCAGATCCAGTTGATGGATATAATAGGCAAAGGTCGTTTCGGCGAAGTGTGGCGCGGCCGTTGGCGTGGTGAAAACGTGGCTGTCAAGATTTTCTCGTCACGCGAGGAGTGCTCCTGGTTCCGTGAAGCAGAGATCTACCAAACTGTTATGTTACGACACGAGAACATCCTCGGATTCATCGCAGCTGATAACAAAGGTACATCTTTTGAGGAATGCTTTGACGTTCTCGTTGTGTGTTGTAATGTTAGCAATGTGCGACTAATAATCAAGTAGTCTTGGGTTCGATCCCCATCAGGTCCAACGTTTTTCTAATCTATTAATAATTTTTCTAAAATATGTTGCACTTCTGGATATTAAATCTGTGTTAGGAATATCGAAATTACGTCCGAGTTACGAACTATTGTACCAACCAACGAACAGTTGAAATACCGGGAAGTTTAATGGCGTTTCGTTTTCTGTGGATTTCCGAATGACCAATGCCAAAATATGTATTTCATCTACCATAAAGTGAACTTCATGCTTGTCTCTCTTTCTATCATAAAAACCCGTGATAGATATTTCTCTTATGATTTAATTTGAGAACACATGGAGTCGAATTCTGTGGAAACCATTGTTTCTGGATAACAAAGAAAGCAGTCAGATCAGCAATTCTCCTGTAAAGTGACAATAAAACAAAGTATTTTTTTTCTAAGTAAAGATTTTTTACTTCGTGGTGTAAAACTATAGTATTTTATCATTCTTGATACAATAATTGCGAAATAATCAAAGTAATTTCTCTTCATAAGGTCTGTTAACAATATGTTGGCGTGTTAGCGCCGCTCGGCGTGGGTGGGCGCCGACGCTCTGTTATGATATTAATTACATTTTTTTCAATAAATATTATATAGACTAATTTCTGTCTATAGTTAACGCGAGTAGTACACATTTAAATAAAGCACTTTAACGGTTTAATACGCGATAGGTATATTAGTTAAATTTAATTGTAAATGATTTTTAACTTCGGCCCGACGTTTCGGATGCTTTGCAGCAGCCGTCTCCCCGTGACCACGGCTGCTGCAAATTAATAAAATTAAAGCGCAAGTTATATATATATATATATAAAAATATATATAAATATATATATATATATATATAACATTGCGATGTGACTAATAGGAGCGAAGAAGCAGCGGGAAATGTAAAAGAAACCTGGTCCAGATCGGACCTCCATGTACTATTCAACTGCCACCCTCCATTTCCCGTAGGATTCGAGTCCAGGACTTCGCCTCAATGCAATTAGTTCTATAACTGAACACCAAAGACTGACAACTTATTCTTTCCACAGATAATGGAACGTGGACTCAACTCTGGTTGATCACAGATTACCACGAGAACGGTTCGCTCTTCGACTTCCTAACAGCCCGCACTATCGACTCTAATACGTTGATCACAATGGCTCTTTCTATTGCGACTGGTCTTGCCCATTTGCATATGGACATCGTTGGCACTAAGGGTATGTAATCTATACTAATATATAAAGCTGAAGAGTTTGTTTGTTTGAACGCGCTAATCTCAGAAACAACGAGGTCTTTTGTGTTGGTTAAATTATTTATCGAGGAAGGCTGTATGCTACCCTGTGACTAATACAAGCGAAGATCGAGCGAGAAATGTGAAAGAATTGGGAAAATTATTCCCAATTTTTTTTCCATTATTATGGGTATCCGAGGCGTACGCTGCAAAAATGGTTCAAGATACTAAAACAAAAGATTTATGAAAGAATGATTCCTGTTTAAATGATCGAATTTTTTAGTAATTATGTATTTAATTAAAAGATTAACTTGCGAGAGCGACGGGAAGGGACGCGACCGATGTTGTGGGTAGCTTAAGTTTATAAAGATGAAGGGGTTTGCAAAAACGAATTTGGATTCGCAAAATAACTATTCTACGCCACTACGAAGTCTCTGACACAGTTCAATCTTACAACGATGCTAATAAAAATATACGAGTCTTTTTCAATATTTCTACCAGATAATACAAATGTTTTATATACCAAAAGTTATTTGCAATTGAACCGGAAAATTATACGTACAGTACTTTTGGAGATCAGCTGTACATACAGACTATGTACGATAAATTTACCTTTTTCTATTCTGTCTCTCTGATTGTTTATTTGTCCCTCACATAATTGTATGATAACTGTATACAACTAATTTATAATACTCTTGTATTATTATAATATATTTTTAAAGTACGTGTGTTTGTACGCATTATTGTATAGTACTACAGGTAAAATAAATAATATTCAGCATGAGTATAAAAATTTGATGACTGTGATGTAGTAAGTATTTTTTGTTATAATTTAAACGACGTTTACTGTACCGTACCGTTGTCTGTACCATTTACGAAATGCATAAAGTTTATATTTCATATGAAGTATTAGCAACTATACCATTTTTTTGCATCCGTTATTCGACCTTATATTTAAGAAACAGTGAATTCATATTCTGTTGCTACTAATCTATTGTCCCTGTCACTAGATTTCCTCGAACATGAATGTATAAATGTTTTTACAGGTAAGCCGGCGATCGCGCACCGCGATCTCAAATCGAAAAATATTCTTGTGAAGAGCAATTTGACATGCGTGATCGGCGATCTAGGTTTAGCCGTTCGGCATAATGTGGCCAGTGATTCTGTGGACGTACCATCGACCAACCGTGTCGGCACCAAACGATACATGGCTCCTGAGGTGAGGATATCTCTTTGAATTTTAAATTATTTCGAAATTATACTAGAACATGAAAACAAAATATATGCCCATAGCAACTGCTGGAGGTTCTTTGTGTATTGTTTTTTTTATTTATGCGCTGTTAGAATTAATGAATTGTTATAAATAACTCCGTTGTCAAGGCAACAGGCAATCGAGTTGTGCCCCGACCGACCAAAATAATTTATTGTCCCAATACTGTCTTTAGTTTCCGCGAGTAGTACACATTTAAATAAAACAATATAACGCTTTAAAACGCGTAATATATTAGTTTAATCTATTTCCAAATTATTTTAACTACTCCTAGTCACCCCATGACCATGGCCGCTTCAAAGTAAACCATTTGTAAGATAGATCAACTAATATATATCGCGTTTTAAAACGTTAAATGTTTTATTAACATTTATTGTTTTTCTGAAATTCGAACCCAGGTAGGCAAACTATTACGCTACGAATTTCGATTAAGAGTTATAAATATGATATTATATGATTGGTAAATAGTACGAAAATTTCAAGCTTTAATAATAATAATCAAACCGGTATGTTTTTAATTACTTTTGAGTTGTTTGTTAACTAGATAAGCTTAAACATCCCTTCATATACCTAAGTAGAATTATAGATTCGTAAAATTATAAAGAGGAGGCAATCTTTTATATTATTTTTATAATTAACCTTATTGTCTCATTTTAAACAAATAACAGCAAAACCTCTATATATTTCTACTAAACTTATTATAATATTGAAATATGATGCATTTCTGGGTAGCAGTTCAAAAACATTTTGTTTTATTTTTGTACCTATTATTGTTTCATTCTATTTTATTCCAAAGTAGTTCTGTACGTTTATCTTACGCGCTCGATATCTCAAACATAAGACCTAAGAACCATTTTACACAATTATTTATTTACAAGATATTTATTTAAGTTTTTATATCTTTACCACAATATATAAAAAACGCTGTGTAACGGCCGGCTTATCACAATCGATGTCTAGAAGGCGACGAGTTGGTACCAAACCCATCACTTATAGCTTAAATGTGTTTAAAAATACCAAAACCAAGTTCTCATTGAGTTAATCACCCTCATCCAGTTTGAATCCTTACTAATTATTAAAAGTCTGGTATGCGATAAGATCTCAACTTATTTAAGCAAATTCTTTTTCGATGTTCATTATTTTATATTGAGGACATAAAATCCCATACACCCAATTTCCCATACCCCACTGTGGGGGTTATTATCCACCTCCTGTTTCCATGTTACGTTCTTCATTAATCAATAGGTAGTTAGTTGTTATTATTTTCTCGTATAACTTCGCTAGAGGTAAATAAATTTAAGATTTATATAGCTTGTTGTCTATACTAATAATATAAAGAGGAAAGATTTGTATTTTTGTATGTAACGGATAAACTCAAAAAGTACTGGATCGATTTTAATAATTCTTTTATCATTAGAAAGCTACATTATCACTGAGTAACATGGTCTATATTTAGTACTTGATTACTATAGGCATCTATAGAAATTCTCACTAAAACCAACGGAAGGCGTAAAAAAATTAGCCGTAAAATGTCTTTATTCGCATACGCTGCGAAAAGTATTAATGATAGGCAATATTATAGAATATATCAATATCTACAAAAAACATCTCGAGACCATATGTCTAACTATTGTAGTTACGTCGCTATAACTACTTTTTTACATTTAACAAATTAATAGAAATGCCGATCAAAATCAGATTGTGGTATCCATACCATTTATAAATTTTTATCCAAATAATATTCAAGACTGTCTCAATACCTGATGATTACTTTTTTAATTATTGAAATCGAGCATGCCATTCAAAAGATATCATGAAATTAAAATAAAAATACATGCCGACGGCGGCCGCCACGCCGCGCATCGAGTAACTAATTCGACGATAGAGGGCCCTTGGGTGGGCTCTTTACGCAGTGGGCGCGAACGACATTTAATATTTCGATATTTTTTAAATATCTTTGCTTTAATTAAAAAGTTCTTTTCCAAGCTACTTAGTTTTAGTATTAGGAATCACACTTTGCATATTGTTTGTTAAAGTTCTTTTCAGAACTATCGCTTTGATCTTTTGAATATTTTCTTTTGTATTATTATTCGTTTATTCTTAATTTATCTGATCTAAAATAAATATCCTTAATATCAATATGCCTAGAAGAAGAAGGTTGCAGCTATCTAAGAATAGTTCCCAAGCGAGATTAGCAAAAGTTCGTCGTATTGGAGAGTCTTCTTCCTAAATCATTTTAGGAAAGTATTAGAGTGTACGCGTCCCAATCGCGAGCCAGAGAATCTATCGTCGAATATTAAGGTTCGTCTTGCAGAACAAAATGCAAGATCGTCGCAGCAACTTAAAGGAAATAAAGCTAGGAATTCGCGATTGCGTGCACGGGACACTAACCCTGAACGCTCGCAGCGGCTCCCGAAACAGCGATAGACCACGGTGGTTAACAGCTAGGACGCGAAATACAGTTTTTCTTTCTAATTTAGTGATTCATGGTCGTTTAAATTAGCATGCTTATAATTGTAATATTTGTACTTATTTATGCCTACCCGTGCGAAGCCGGGACAGGACCGCTAGTTAGATATAAAATACTATTGTAAGGAATGTGCTTAGCGCCTTTGTATGTGTATTCTTACCTGGGAACACGTATTTCGGTTCTACCACGTATCTTGGTCTGCAGACCTGACCTATGAATATGTTTAGAATGTGTATTGGGCTGCATTTAGGTTTGTTATCCTCAATTTTTGTATTTTTATACTACTTTTTCAGAGTAGTATGTTGCAAAGCGATAGAACAATATGTCTTTCCAGATCTTGGCGAACTTGTATACGCTCGTCGGTTTATCGTTACCAATGGCTAATAGTCAACGGGTCGTGGCTTCGATCACCGCCGGGTCCAACACGCACCAAATCAATTTATAAGTTTATTATGACATATTGGTTTCATTTGTAAGTCTGGATATTAAATGAATGGTAGGCATATAGAAATGAAGAAGCCGTGAAGTTTATTAGCTTTTCTATTATTGAGTATAAAAAGCAAAAATAGGTCAACGGCGCGTCTTGTTGAGAAGTTATATGGAGTATTGTACCTTCCATCAAACTTATGCTTGTCTGTCATCCTCTAATATAAGAACTTATATACATTTATCATGTCTGCGTAAAGTCGCGAGGCTCAGCTAGTATGTGACATTAAGAGTCCCCATTTAGCATATTGTAATTTTTGCTACCCGCGAATGTCCGCTGTGTTCATTTGAAAGTGTAAGCGCATGTTTTTTCTTCATTTAAATGAGGTGTCATATCAAAAGGATATGTTTATGTAAAATTCGGGTTCGGGCAGCCTTCAGTAGGGGAATCGGTTAGGATGAAATTATGCGAAGTTATTTATACAGTCGCCATTTATATTGACGTGACGAGGTTGTCTGGACTTTATTTGGAATATATTTAGACTTTTGTCACCACATCTGAAGTAGCGTTTTTATCGATTCCCTGTGAATTGACATACTTAAGTAAGCTTCGCCAAGATGGGCACGTGAACATTTATTAGCATTTAGTATTTTCCGCAGCACGCTAGTACACTTTTAAATAAAACACTTTTAACGGTTTAAAACGCGAAATGTACTAGTTATTATTTTTAATCTCTTTAACTACTTACGTCCCATCGTTTCAAATGTTTTGCAGCAGCCGTGGTCACGGGGGTGGTTGCTGCGCTTACGCCACGTGTTTCTTCGTAGTTCTTAGGTTTTGTTATCTTAAGTCCCCCCATGATCACGGTTGCTGCAAAGCATCTGAAAGGCTTTCCCTAGTTAAATTAAAATAAACATAAGTAAACTAATACATTTCGCTTTTTAAACCGTTGAAAGTGTTTTATTAAAAGAAATGGAATTAATTATAATATTTGTAATTAAGTCCAGTCGTTCTTTAAATTATCGTGCTTCGTAAATAATTATTGCCTAAGGCTTACATTATATTACTCAACATTCAAGATCGTAAATAGTTCACCAGGTGCGTGAAAAAATTATAGATACTCCACTTCAACCATAGATCTTATAATTTCACATTTATAATAATATGTACATAATATCTTATATGATATGATCACTATGTTTGTTGACCGATAGTCTGATGATAATCGAATATATTATATTCATATATGTAATTGATAAAAGGACATATCCGTTATCGATATAAATAAATGCAAATATTTGATGATAGGTATATTTTAATGATTTTTTGTAAATTCAACGCGAAAGCTTTTTGTTCCTTTTCAGCCAAGCAAAGCAATTTAACGGTTTAAAAGGCTATCTATTTGTTACACTTATTTGCACATTATTTTAACTACAGCCCGACATTTCGGATGCTTTGCAGCAACCGTCACGGGGGGGAGACTGAAACGTCGAGCCGTAGTTAAAATAATTTTCAAATAAGTTTAACTAATAGATATCGCGTTTTAAACCGTTAAAGTGTAAGTTAAACTTATTTTAAATTTATTATAACTACGTCCCAAAGTTGCGGATTCTTTGCAGCAGTCGTGGTCACGGGGAGACTGAAACGTCGGGTTTTAAATCGTTAAAGTGTTTTATTTAAGTGTGTACTCGCATAAACAGACAGTATTTAGCCATGCTAAGGTTTTTTCTGCATGTTTTTTGGGGACATTGCAAATACTTTTCCACTTATTTTCAGGTACTAGACGAAACAATGGATTCTCGGCAGTTTGACCCGTACAAGCGTTCCGATGTTTATTCCTTTGGTCTGGTTCTTTGGGAAATGGCGCGGCGGTGTGGTAATATGCCAGAGGAATACCAGCCGCCGTACTACGACTGTGTATCTCCTGATCCGGCTCTTGAAGATATGCGACGTGTTGTATGCATTGAGAAGCGGCGACCAAACGTCCCAAATAGATGGCACTCCGATCCGGTAATAAAGCATATTTAGCAATGTATGGCTAATAACCAACGGGTCGCGGGTTCGATTCCCACTACGGTTTTTTAAATAGCTGACCCGGTAAAGGTTCTTTTGAAGTATTCAGTATTACGACTTAATTTGATTACCATAAAAACAGTTTTTGCGAGGTAATCATAAAAAATATACTTAGAGTCGCAAATTGTTTTTTTAATTATTTAAAGAATTTTTCTTTCTTTCCTTGCATTGCGTTAGGCGCGTAAGGTCCTGAGTTCGAACAATTTTGTTTCTCTGGACTTAAGTCCTGTAGTCAGTCTGTTGTTAAGTCCTCGGCTGTTTAATATTTTTCACATGTTACTGAACACAATGGCACTATATAAATTAAAAATCGATTATAATTGAAAACATTTACGACTCAGGCAGGACTTGAACCGGCATCCCGTGCTGTTGCTGTAACCAATTGAACTACCGAGATTCGATAGCTCAATTTCTAATCGGTTTTTAATTTATATAATCTATAACTTAACATTGAAATGTAAGTACATATCTACTATACTAAAATATTTCTAGGCTTAATTGCATTTTATCATGATCGATGTGCTTGGTAATTAATTTTTAGCCTATCGACATTTGATATTGTTTGTTCAGGTCTTATCGGCAATATCGAAAGTGATGAAGGAATGCTGGTATCAGAATCCGGCCGCTCGCCTCACAGCGCTACGGATAAAGAAAACTCTCGCGAACATCAGCACCGCAGACCAGATCAAACTGTAAAGTCACACGTCGGGTTGGGAATATAAGACTTGATCACATCCAAATACAGCCGATTTTTCCGTCCACGTATTTCATCTGATTACACAGTGACGTCACTACGAAATGCCAGACGATATTGACTTTGGTTCCATGTATCGATAGAGATAATACGGCAAACAAAAACGTAATAGATATCTCTCATTTTAAATAATCTATAGAATCTAGTGTTAGGAATAACATTAGATTGTAGTTGCTTTAATCTAGGATGTTTCCTTTTAATAACAACTAGTCTCTATGGAACAAATAATCTTAATATCGTTTTGTGTCTGTTAAACAGAATCAGCGAAACTGACTTTTGCGTTGGACAAAATCGGATTATGACCTTTGGGTTTTCTGTGTGTTCCCAACCTTAGTACCTTCAATAATACTGGCCATTAACTAAAGCGGGGCTTAGACGAGCAATTTAATCCAGGAATCTTGCTTTTAAAGCCTTTAGCTACTTCTTTATACATATATATCTTTCTAATTTGACACTTTTGATAAACAAACACACAATTTACACGTGAAATCGTGATTCTCCCACAAGATTTACATTAAAAACAAATTCATTTACTAAAAAATACAATTTCACAAAATTAATGAAAATTCTAAAAATGAATTAACTTAAATGGACAGATTAAAATTTTTTAAGTTTGACATTTACACAGAGATGGGATGTAAGCAAAGGCAGAGCGAAGACCCACTTGTGCACGATCGCTTAAAAAAAGCTAAAAACGTTAGAAACGATACAAACAAGTTAAATAATAATGACATAAAAAAAAAATTACTTGGTGTCTATGGTTTGAAATAGGCTATATCTGTTGTGGTCGTTTCCAAAGTTAGAAAACATATACAGCCGGACGAAGATATTTTTGCTTGTGTAAACACCGCTTTAGTATCACTAGATACGTACTAATAAATAAGCAATATATTTAGGAGCTTTCTACGCAGTAGTATACACTAGTTAGTACTCGTTAAAAGTAACGAATGAGTTTCGTATCTATGCTTTAGTAGTACAGCAGTTACAATCTGTTGAAAAGAAATCGCATTAGATTTTCAAAAGCCTCTCGCAGTGATTATTTTCTACGAAAAGCAATATATTTCGTTATAAATTGCTTTTGTATTTTGTAAGTAGAAATAGGTGCTTCTGTTGATACTAGTTTTAACGTTTAATAATGTTAATGTATGATGGTTGACATGTATTATTGGAGGTGACTTGAAAGGAATTTAGCTGAGCACACCGAATCCACACTCACATTATTAGATAAAGATATAAAGCAGCTATTAGACGAAAAATGTACGGACATACAGTTAGCCTTATCACATACTAACAGGGTAATTTTATCATAAGCTAAAACTATGTTGCGACGCGAAGAGTTCAAAATGTGTAAACATGAGTTGTGATACTTGATAGAAATTGTTAGTGTTTTGATCATTACATATAGTTTGACTTAAGCAGCATGGGAGTGTGGATTCGGTGTAGGGGTTAGCTCTTGTAGTCCGCCTAGTCGTCTCTCCTTATCCTACCTCTTAGATTGTAATCAAACACGCGCCTGTTTCACGTGAGTACCCAGTGTCGTTGGTACTGCACTGTTTTCTAAATTCAAAATAAATTCGAATTTCGAACGCTTGCATTTTTCGATCAGCAATATTGAAAGGCCTACTGATTAAAATTGACTAATATTTGAAGAGGCCATGACTTGGTCCTGTTAGTTGATGATCTTACAACGTAAATAAGCAAACACAAAACAATAACGACTCAAATATTTATAATAAAATACAAAGTAGGTTGTATTAAAGAGGTGTTATGCGCTATCGTTTTTATGTCGGGCTGTTGTTGATCGAAGGTAAGATTGATTGAAATGTTAATATTAGCTTGTGCTATACCTACGTGAAACAGGCACGACGAAGCATTTATAATACTAACACGTTATATGTAATGGAACTTTGTGTTGTAGTGATATGATTTCGTTACCAAGTATGTAGTTTTGAAATGTTAGGGAGGCACCCGATTCTGTTTTATAATATTATGCATAATTGTATTTAATAAGTGATGTTTAGAACTTTTCACCTTTTCTGTGATATTTTCGTAAAATCACATGTTTTGTTTTTAATTTATTTTGACCTGACGACACGGCCAATAGTCTATAAGGCTAGGTGATGAAATTTTATTATTCTTTTAATTAATACATGTTTTGTATCTATCTATTGGTTCCACCGTTTTGGCATCCTCTCTTTTATGATGGATGGATTTTAAAACAAGGCCGCAACAGCGTCGTAATAAATTATTTACTTACGCCGCGAAAATCTAACTATATCTTCCTAGTTAGGTCTCTGTCTCTATATGAAAAGGAAATATTGACTACATAGTTCCAAGCGGTAAATAAATGTTCATATAATCCGACAAAACCTGAAACCTGAAGCCTACTAACAGTTTATTTTCAAATCCCCTGTCCGCTTGTGGCCATAAATGGGCATTCCCTTTCAGCATAGGTTATTCTGTTCGAAGCAAGAACGATTGTTAATTTTTTTAATGAGTTATTGAAACTGCGTATTTTATTTTGCTATATTGTATTTTTATGAATTCGTTTCTTATGTGTCTCTTTTATATTCATTCGTGACTTTAGATGTATCTATGTTTATTTAGAGTTAGTTGTACCTTTAAGGCTTTACTAAAAAGAGTTAATGTACCTTTTTATTGTTAATTATTACTTATTAATATTATTGATAGTCCGCTTCTTAAAGTCATTCAAATTTTATAGAGACTAATCGTGTAAATTTTCAAGGAGTTAATAAGGAGATTGTATTATTTATTATTAGTAACTCCAACTGACCACAGTTAAGTTCATGTCATGATTTTACTTTATCATTGGGGACACCGTCAACCTTCAGTCCCCCCGTGACAATGGTTGGTGCAAAGCATCTGAAACCTCGGGCCGCAGTTAAAATTAATTAAAAATAAGAAAGCGTGTTTTAAACCGTTAAATATGTTTTGTTTTAAAAAATTTATTAGGTGGTCTTATATTTAAAGGAATGCTTACAGTTGCAGGGTAGTTTTTTTCAAGCGATTTTATTTAGTTGGGCAATTACTGTTGATTGAAGGAAAGTTAAATTTTAACGTTTGTTTTCGACTAGTACTAAGACCTATGACTGGACTGTTGTGTCGTAATCCGCTAGTACTTGTGTAAAATAATCGTATGGAAAATGTTTAGGCCCGCAAGTCATTTTGACGCTAGATCTTTAAGGGACACATACATTATTTTATAGTGTACTGGCGAGGAATACATAAGAGGGCACACGTTTGGAGGTAAGATTTTAATTTCCTAAACAACGTTGAAGTGGTAAATAAGAAGTATTTTAGTTTGGTGAAAACTCAGCTATTATTAGAAATAAAACAAAAATATATGTTAGCGAAACAAAATATATTTACCAAATTATCATTGATAACACTGGCGGTTATATTCGGTTATTTTTTTGTCGAAATTTCTGGACATTAGACACTTTCAAGTATTCTTTCCGCCCGGGACCCAAAATGGACATTTCTTTTATTGTTTATTTAATTTTAATAAAATCTCCTTCTTACTTCCTTTTCAAAGCTTTATATTCGAAATCTATATTTATCAGAACGTTATGGCGTGTTATGGTATAAAAGACTAAATTTTAAAATAGCACTTATAGATCCCTATTGTATTTTCCCTTTTTTATTCTCTTTAACATTAGATTTGCAATTTTATATAAGGTTATGAGTATAGGAGCGTAAATTAATAAGTTTTCATACGAACTAAGTAAAGATAGGATAGATGTGTAAGTGTAATTATAACGTGAAGATCCTTTCAAAGAAATTAATTTGGTGCACTAAAAACTATGCGGCTTACGGATTTAAAACCTCAAGTCATTGTAAAAAAAATCATGTTAAAGTATATTATACCGTTGCGTTTAAGTATGTATATATTACGATTATTTAATGTTAGTAGAATAGTTTTATTAGTATTTGTATTCGTTTTAAGCAATGAAATCGCGGAACACGTAATTATTAAGCTTCTTCATTGATACACATATATTCCATTGTGTAGGTACCAAGCTATTCCGGAGTATTTATGCAATAACATAAGTGAAACAATCGCAAGCAAAATCCGGTAATCTGTTTATCAACACTTCTATTACATGTATTATCTTATTTGTATACCTTGTCGAAACTTATATTATTTTAAAATCTCTTATAAACAAGTAATACGATGAATAGAATATTTCTTAAAATCACTTTTAAAAATACAAATATCGTAAGCAAGGCATTCATATGTCCTCATATGTATTAATAATGTATGTTTAGACCTCACATTTCAAGACACAGTTTTAACATACGTCAGTAATATTTTAAAAATGTGATACACTCGGGCGTTTTGAATTTGCGTTCACAGGTATGACTTTCTTTAAGTAAGGCAACAATTACAACAAGCTATTTTTTGTTAAGCAACAAAATTATGTGATTGTCATACGATTTAGTATCTGCGTATGTTTACTTAGTTCAGTCATTCACTTGTAAATATTTTTAAAAATATAATGGAGCATTAAAAACTTCGCTTGTGTCCCTCGCTAAAATATTTAACTACTCTTCCAAATAAAGACTGTCAAATATACAGACATGTAATAAAACTATTTAGAAATTTGGATGTTTTATAGAAGCACGCTTAAAATAGCGCTTAATTTACTATTTTTATAAGGAAGTTATGAATTGTGACAAAATTTTATACAAAGTCGAGATTTTACCTGAATATGAAGCAATAAGTGAGAAATTTCATCGTGTCTGTTATTTGAAATTAATTGAAGAGATAAACACACACTAAGTAGGTTTATGTATGTTTCTTTTGTACGTTAGGTAAGGTAGTGTGTAGTCATGTATTAAGTTCTTGTAAAGAGCAATCGCATTGCATTAAGCGAAAATTACAATTATTTCTGCTTTACAAGTGCAAAGAGAAGATTTGTTTGACTAAACTTGTCAAATTATGTCTTCAGTACCTTTAATTCTCAGTTTATAGTGTACATATAATTTGATCTTTGTATATGAAAAATGCTAGGTATTGTTTAATTTTTAAATAAAACTAATCTTGTTTGTTGTGAAACTGAATAAATTAATTTCAATAATTCGGCCTTTCGTGGCGCATTTTAGACATGGAGAATGTTGAATAATATTCTCCTTACTAGAGGCCGAAAAATAATAATTAAATTTTTTTGAAACTCTGTAAATTGAAAAAAAAAAACTAAATTTAAATTTAATTGCTTGATTTACAAATTGTAATATTTCTTATTGTTTTATTATATAAAAAGCGTTAATTCGAGTAAATTTAAGTTCTACAGCAGCTATATAAAAAGCAATTTTATTTCTCATTGAGTATTTCATTAAATTTTTGCTATCATTATAATTCCATTCAAACTGCCTAAAAGATTTTATTTTATTCACATAAGTTGGGTAACTTTTCTTTGGGTAGCACTTACAGATTGAATCAGTGACAATACTTAATAATTATAAGGGATTACAATATATCTAAATCGAATTTCTGAATATTTCCTATGACAAACGATCACGACCCACAGTTTAAAGTTGACCAATTTGACTATAATTTTGCAATTTTATGTCTAGTACTGTAGTATGAAAGTATGTAATGTTAAGTAACTTAAGGCATAACTGGAGTTCAAAGTAACTGATGTGGTACAAGACAAAACAATTTGATGAGCAATACCAGTAAAGTACAAGAGAACAGCAATAAATTGTTTAAACAATTCAGTACCATATCACATTATATTCATATGAATCCGTTGATTCACAATTAGTGTTTATAATCTGTATATAATATTATTTAATACCCTTTATATAAGTTTTATTAATTGTTTATGGAGTGGTTTTAATTTAATATAATAGAACAAGTGTTTTTATAAATGCCAGTTGTTTTATTTCTTTAGGCCATTTGGGCGATAATTCTCTATCTATTTCATCTGTGAACAGTGGTTCGTGATGCACTGATGGATGTTTTTGATAAACCAATCACCCACTTAATAGAACCAATACCAGAAAAATGTTGGACTTGGTGGGGGTTCAAACCTATATCAAAGTTTCACGGAGTGCAATAAAATTAAAGTATTATTTTTAACTACATTTTATTGTAAAAGTGTTACAAGATGAAAAATGCTTATATTACTTAATAATAATTATAACTACGTTGTGCTAATATAAGTCAATTCTGGACGGCATTTTTGTTTTAGAGATTCATATATATTTAAGGTGTAAAATAAAACACTAAGACTATGGTTATATAAAAAAATATCCTAAAACTAAAAGATGGGAGGATTATAAAAATGCATTAGTTAAGCATATGAAACTTTCTGTTCATATGCTTCTTCTTCATTCCAATATTCCTGGTCACTAAATGCTGTATGGCGGAGCTTACACCACCGAGCTCCAAATCTCAACATCAGGATTATAACAATTAACACAAATAGTGACAATACAGCCACAGCGGGGTACATCATTAAAAACGCCATGATTAAATATCACTTTCTCTTTTATGCAGGTCTAAATATTCGTGGGATGAGGTGAGAGGTTGTCTTGAGATTGATGGGGCAACTTCAATATCGTGTTTATGGACCTCCTGATACTCCTCCGGATGATATGCAGTGTATTGAACAGGTACAAATTCGTTCTCGAGCTCAGTGAAATCAAGGGGTGGCTGCTTGTGAGGTGTGGTAGACCAGATGGAGACTATCCAACGATTACCTTAAAAGTTTCATGACAATAAACATTAAGCAAAACTGTTTAGATCTAGGTTTTTGGGCCTGATCATCAACTTTATCAACTATTGAAAACCAAAAATTATTTATTTATAGTAATGTTTTTATCATCATGCATTATGAGCATGTCAGCAAATAATGAAAAATATTAAAAGGGAAATGGAATTTCATAGAACGAAAAATGTTTGTGTCAGCGGCTAACACTCACTAGACTACTGCAGTAGATTTAGGCAAACACATTATACTCTCAATTAAAGCAGCTAGGAATCGAAAAGTTACATGAGGAATTACTACATTAATTATTTATTAATGTGAAGAATACCTGTGTGTCTATCAAGCCAGTAATCAGAATATCTTGAACAGCAACAAACAAAGTTAAGTATGAGTATAAATCCCAGTATTACTGAACTAATCGCTATAGCTATGTAGAACGGGGTGAAATCTCCGACTTTTGATAGCAGCGGATTTATTGTTTTATGTGTGAAAGTATCATTCCCTGCAAAGTAAGTTTGAGAGTCATATGGGGACATTTTCTCTTAAATTACCTGCCGACAAGAAACACAAGCGATTAACGGATAGTTATGATTTTAGGGCGTGGTAAACATTAGTACTTGACACGAATTAGACTTTTAAAAAGTATATGAACAAGTAACTTTAATTTGCACCAATACTACATAATATATCAATGAATATAGACTGAAATTATCTACCGAATAGTAAAAATAAGTACTTGAAACTATAATTCAATTTTAAGTTAACTTACTTTTCTAACGCAAACGACAAAACCTGTTTCGTTTTTTTTTAATATTGGCTTGGCGGATTGCTACGTTTGACGGCTATAATCCGTACATATGTTAATTGTCAATATTCAAGTAACGCCACTCCTCACTACATCTGTGGTCAGAAATAAATAAGGGCCAGAATAGTAATAACAGATGCCAGTATCACAGATAATAAAATAAATCGTTTCGCGGTTACATTCGAACAAACCTGCAATAGAAAATGTTGATTTTGAACCTCCTGCTTTATGATAATTGCTTATTTGCCATTTATTTTATTGGTTCGGATCTGATAACAATTCACCTACTGTGTCTTGTTTGTTTAATAATTATCCTTATAGTAGTCATTAAGAGATACCTTAAAATAATATCGGCATACTTACTGTGTACTCGCAGTATATAAAATGTATTGTATGCCCATAAGAGTAAAAGCAAGTTTAGCAAGAATAGTGATAATCATAATTTGAACTTACGAAATAAGGGTAACCTAGCTATCCCCAAATATAGGCTCCATAAAATATCTAATTCATTTGCGGGGAATTGTATTCGTATGTACAATACATTGCTAGTTGAGGTGTCAAATTTATCGATAAATAAATTTGAAAAAGTTATAAAATTTAGATTGTATTGTCTCGAAAGGCGTATTGTTGTCTAAACGATTTCTTTAATGACATGAATTGCTCCTTAGGTTAATAAAATCATCAAAATCATCATGTCAAAAAAGCCGGACTAAGTTTCTTGGGTGTTCTTTTCAGTTATGTTGCTCTTTTGAACACTAGAATCACGACGAACAGACAGACAAACTAAAAATTTTTGACGAATCTAAATAATTTTCAAAAATATTTAAAAAAATAAAGTATATTTTATTTAGTTGTTTAATGCTATATACTGGTCAATATAGGATAAAAAAACTAGATATACAAATTAATCAATAAAACGAAATAAACAAATCAAAAATATATAGGTATGTCACCGATTACCATATCCCATTTTATAACTTCGAAATAAAGTACACAACACAGTTTGACCATTTATTAAAATTTTCTTAAATATGTACAGTAGCTACCCTTTTAAATAAATACACGAAAGAATTAAAAAGTAATGGGAGCAATACATCAATTAAACAAGGGAACATGGGTCTAATTACCAGATAATCTACGCATTTGGTTGGTCCACCAATACGTTCTCCAATAAAGTTATTAAATGTAACAGGTCTAATTTATTGTTGAAAAAAAATAGTAAAATAGTATTAGAAAAATCTCTCATTTTGAATTGAATTAAATCCTCACAACACATAGGTATTTAATTTTGCATAAACATATCAGAGGTTTTGAAAGAAAAGCCCCAAGAATGGTTTTACGTGTGTAGATGTGGAAAAAAAATCCTATATTTTACACTGGATTCTGACATTAACGAAGAGAGCTGTTTATTAGTAAGACGACGTATTCATGCTTCCATGATAGATATTTAACCCCTCTCTAAGATAAATTTAGACCTGTTACGATATGTTAAGTTTCGTATTGTATCTGAAGTAAGTAATAATTGAATGTCTCAGATTATGATAAGAACAACGTAACTACCGTCGCAGAAAAATTTTCGATCCTCTTGTGTTTTAAACTCCCAAGCTGTTAATCAGTATTTTATTTTAATGGTTGTTCCATATTTTTATTTTATTTTATTCTTAAAATTATCGATAGACTTAAAGCTACAATTTGTTTGAGATTCTATATTTTGTTCTATCTAGGCGTTTGAGAATCTTCAACATTTTCAGGGCTTCATCTCTGATCTGAAAAATATATTTGCAAGTTAATCAATGATACAACTAATTCTATATAGCAGATGAAAATTACTTAAATCGTACGTAAAAAAATGTGTAAAAAAATGATTCATGAAATAAAAGTGAAAAGGCCTGATATATTTTTTTATTTACTGTAAGTAAGGCTGACTTCTGAGCCCTAACCTTTTATTAAAAAATCTCACACATAATCATGGACGATGCGTTTAGATATTATTCTACTTGTAAAGACCTTACTGTTAAAAGACAATAATAACATTTTTAATTAATTTCAAATAATCAAGTGTACAACGTCATGTTCGAATATTTTCATAAATCACAGACATCTTACCCATCACTGCGTTTGTCAGGCAACGATTTGTTTCCAGAGTTCTGTTCACTGTAAATAAGCACACATTATAATGACGTAGTTAACTTTCGCCTCTGACAATTTTATATGTTTAACGCTAAAACAAATCATAATAATTGGAGAGGCTAGATTTGGGCGCAAAGCAGATGTAATTTAAGTTCTTTTCATTCTCTTTCATACTCTCCTTTCATACTTAATATTGACAAAATACGCACAGCAATAGTTATAATATATACTTTCGCAGCTAACATAAGATCATTTTTTTTTTTTTTTATATATATCATATTATTGATATAGGTAACTAAATTAAAACCATTAAAAGGATAACTATTCTTATTATTATTTTCTATCGGGGACACCCTTGGCAGGACGGGTGATCAGTCCACGTTGTCCGCTGACCATTTCACCCATTTCCCCATTCCTCCTTGCAGAAGGATAACCTTACTTTTTACTCTACTCATATACACTACATATATATTGCTGATTCTTACAATTTTTGGAGTCGCTTATCCTATTCCTACGCCGATCTCGAGGAGCGGATGTCCTTTTCATCGCCGCTGACCGTATTAGTGTTTCGATTATTTCTTCATCAGCTGTCGCATCACCGCTGCAAATCATCACAGATAGTTACGAAACCACAGGTTTTATAACAGTTTAGCATATTAATCTATACTAATATATAAAGCTGAAGAGTTTGTTTGTGAGACGCGCTAATCTCAAGATCTACTAGTTTGAATTGAAAAAATATGTTTGTGTTAGTTCCAACATTTATCGAGGAATCGCGCTATGACTAATAGGAGCGAAGAAACATCGGGAAATGTGGAAAAAACGGGGAAAATTATTCATCTCTGTGGATTGCCGATGCGTACGTTGCGTTAACGGTTCAAGAAACCCAAAAAATATGTACAAAGGAACGATGTAAATCATCTAACAAAATGTTCGCGACACTATATGTCTATCTTTTAAGATTAACTTGCAAGAACGATGGAAAGAGACGCGACTGACGTCGTAGATAATAGTTTCAATTTATAAAAATGAAGAGGATGTTTCCAAAAACAAATTTGGACGCACAAAATAACTATTCTACGCGGATGAAGTCGCTGACTCAGCTAGTGCCCAGATACCTACTCTTTTCATTGTTAGCTATTAGCTAGCTTATTAATGAAATATTTTAAGAAGAAAAAGAAATATTCGAAGAATCTTGAACACAATCGCTCTGAATGACAATGTTCATATTTTTTTGTACTCACTTTACAAATATTTTTTTATTGTTCAGCTTGTGTGATTTACGACGCCTCTCAGTTAAAATGTCTATGTCCGCATCTGTTTTGAGAAGTTCCTTTAGAGCGTTATCCGCTGTATGGTCCCCGCCCGTGCTGGAGTACTTTCCAATCTAGAAAATATTTAATAGATAATATTTTAAAAGCTCCGTGCAATTAAATCCCATATTATTAATACTGATTTTATAATATAGATCCTATATATTTGTGTTAGTTTTTTTTTATAGACAACCTGGTTACAGACTTGTACATCGTATACAACCCTGTTTCCTTGTAATTCATATCTAATCATGCTTAATGCAGTGCAAGCTGACGTTTTACAAACGAGCTAGATTAGAGCTGACTAGAGTGAAAGTAACCGATTGACCACTATGCCCCCTAATTATTTAAAGCGTTTGAGCCAGGGGTGAGAAAAGAAAAAAAGAGAAGAAAGAACAACGACAACCCGTCGTATTCATAATATTTTAGGATTAAAAGCTTACATCTATAATCATTTTGCCTCTTGTCTTATTTCTCTCTCTATGATTTGCCCTCTTTTGAATTTGTTGCAGCACCCTTTCTCGAGTAGTGCGGTATTCTAGTGCGAACTCTGCGATTACTTTTAAGAAGTCTGATGGTCTTGTTTTTGGAATATCAGTTGTGGGCACTCCAAGATACAATAGGAACTTATTATATCTGCAACCAATGATTGTATTAATGTTCACGTTTTTGTTGTATATCTTTTTTATTTCATAAAATGAATAAATACTCAACAATTTCAAATAAAACGTAAACACTCAACCAAAAACTAGCAGGCATTTCCGAAATGGCTTAGTTAAACTTAATTATTATGAATTAAAACTACAATTTTGAATATAGAATAATGCCGTTTGTATTATTTTATATTGAGTACACCAATTAAAGGCTGGTCTCCTTATACAACAAACCATTTCACACAATTCCTCTTTATACAGGACGACATTAGGTTATCCAAGTCTCGCTGCATCTCCTCTGTGATAACTTTGTGTTTCTTTTAAAACACACTAGTCACAAATCTTTATTGTTCGCTTATTCATTGTAAATATTAATTATTCTACGCGGATTTTCCATTAGTGATGCTTTCTTTACATTATATGTAAGTAGCTTTCAAATTGTTTGGATATACCAGGATATAATGGAAGTTTAAAATTGCCAGCCAGTTTTTGTAGTATGTTTACAGCACTCACCTATTCATGACACGCTTTTTAATGATGGTTAATAAGATGATTCGTTCAGCAGCATCCGTGATGAAATCATTAATTTTTGTCTTATATATCTGTGAACCGTCGTGTTTTGCAACCTTTTTCATATGATCCCATGACGCTTTGCAGTCCGCCTCCAATTTGAGAAGGTTGTGACTTAGAACGTCGAAGTCCACTTTAGATGCGCGTATTACAGGACCCACCTTAAGATTGACGTTGTTTAACTCATTTTAATTAGTTTTATATATTATTTTAAATCAGTCTTTGAAGTTATTAACGACGTCTTTGTATCAGATTAAGCTGAAGTCTTAAATTTGAATTCCGGCACAAAACAATAAACAACAAAACACGAAAACCTATTTGAATATAGTTGTTATCACTTGATGGTAGCTGAAATAGCCCAGCCAAATAACATCTAAACAAGATGCGCTATCGCCTCTTTTGCACTTGAATATTCATATGAGAAGCGATTACAAAGTATGTATTGAGAGCTAGTGTTGGTCTATTCGCATGTGCATACATTCTTGACGACATGAGTTCGTTTACCAGTCATTCACAATTGTTAAAAAAAAACATCACAACATGGTCACATACCTATAAGTAATGTATAAATCAAACCGTAAATAAATTAAAATATTTACCTCACTAAAAAAATCTGTGGTGTCATCAAACTTTTCCTTGATCATTTCGCAAATGTGGTATAACAATGGGTGTTTGTGGACGGTGTCTTTGACTTCCATGACCTTGGACAAGTATTCCAGCCGGAATCCCTTAACCTGGCTACCGTTTAGGAAGCTTCCAACCGACCTTAGTGTTGAAAGGATTACTTTGAACGTTCTGTTGGCTTTTAGTAACTCTATGCCTTGCTTAAGGTCCATCAGGGGTTCTGCAATTTCTTTCTGTAAATGATAAATACATGAATTGAGGTCGCTGTTAATCTTTAAGAGTACAGTGACTGAAAATTGTTAACACAATTCTTACACAAATTATAGTACAAATTCATTTTTGCCACAAGTTAATTGCGCATTTTTATTTTCCTCTTTATTGAAAATCATGTTTTTGTTATTAGGCCACTCTGCCTCTAGCAGCCTTAATTTATATATATTATATTAATTATATACTATTGTAAAATACATATTATTTGATATCACATTATAGTTAAAATGGAAAACTTAAATCGGCAATATATGATACAGGCGCGAATCAAACCTACTACAGAAGACAGTTTCTAACTAATTATTTAACGATCTCATTCTCGATGTATAGTGGTAACAAACAAGATGTCTTGTCTGTTAAGTAACCACCATATCTGACCATTCTGCTCTACTGGAAGTAGCTTAAATATATGTGATATGAATTATTTGGGTTCGATTCTCAATGAATTTTAAATTAAAACACGTCCAAAATAAAATATAAAAATTAAAGGATTACCTATATTTTTAAATTACTAATAAAATATATTTATGCATTGTATATTTACCTCTAAATTGTCAAAGTCAAGTTTAAAAACCCATAACTTAAGCCTTGATGACAATTCATTAATTGAGGCAAGTGTAAGTAGAAATTGTTCTGCACTTCCAAGGGGTAAATCTGGATTGGCGTACTATAGATAAAAAAAAAACAATATCTATATATTATGTCAATTATATCACTTAATTATTACTTTATATAAATTAATATCATTTTTAAAAACTTAATTTGAAATCAAAATAAGAAAAGTTATGTACTTTATTTAGTTCAATATGAAAATTTCTTTCATTTACCTGAGCTTCTTGAATTTTAACTTTTTCTTCTTCGGTTGGCAGCATTGTTATTAGTTTTTCTATTCCTTCCCGACCTATGACAGTTGCGTCCATTTTTAAAATGGCGGCTTTTATTGTCTGTGGTGTGGGCAGCTTTTTCATGGCAATATTAATTGCATTTGATCGCTTTGCATCTAATATTAGGTTCCTCTTTGGTTCCATTAATTTCTGTAATAAAAAGATTGCATTATTTTTAAATAAGATTTCAATAACAAATGACTTAAGTGTATAATTAATCTACGGTAATGTAAAACATAATAAAAAAATCTTACCTCCTTTACAGCCGAAAGAAGCACGACGATAAATATGAAAAAAAAGGAACTTAGCATATTATTGTGGAATAAATATGTATGGTTGTATTAAAATAAAATAACGAATAAATTGTTTCTGCATTGCTTAATTGATTGTGCCACTACAGAAGATTAATATTGGCTTGAATAAAAATTGGTCACAGACAAAGAAATGTTTTCTCCAAAGGAACAAAACTGTGATATTATGCATGCGTAATCTTACCTTTATAATTAAATCGTTCGTTCTAGATTCAAACAAATGTTCTAACATAGCAGTATCTAAGTCAACTTCGGGCAAATCGTCCCAAATAAATCCACCAACTTTAGGTACAGGTGGTGGATTCTCTTGTATTTCCCTCCAGAACAATTTTACTGTTTTCTTATTTTTCTTTATAGTGGAAGTATCAGACTCTTTGGATGATAATATCTGTGATGGCACCCCTACAGACGATTTTGGGCTTGAGAAAATGGATCCTGGGACTGGGGGGGGAAAGCCCAACGATGGAAGCATTGATGGCGGTGGAGGGGGTGCTCCATTGCTAGCATTTACAGTTTGGGACATCGTATCATCATCTGAGTCCTGTCTGAGATCTGAAAAGTCTAGATCACACAACTGGAATTCGCGATTAAGGCATCCCTTCTTTAACTCTTCCCAGTGGAGTTCATTTTCTGATACTTTAATATCAACCAGCTTTGGACACTTCTCAATTGTTGGGCTTTTAATTATTTCTGGAATCGTAAATTTGTTTCTAGATCAAAACATATTTCAAGTGTTGATAATCTATTATAATTTATTATTGAGATTGTAACACAATGCGTGGACATTCCTCAGTTACAATCCGAGGTAATCTCTAACGATTGTCATATCAAGCTGATGTTTTAATATTTGAGGTACCACACTCCATTTTTAAACAGCTCTTACACGCAATGGGAAACATAATATTAATCCAAGAACTATTTTAGTTGTCATTATCTATGCCTGAGGAGTGAAACCCATCCATCCATCATTCATCATGTTCTTATAGCAATACATAACATACCTTTGGATTGAGATTTTGCAAGTTCCTCTTTAGCTTTCGAGACGATACCCGCCATATCGGATACGCGTAAAGGTTTTTCCTCCGGTACTTGATTTATAGGACTAGTTAATCTTTGAGCTAAATCTTTTATACTATGTTCTCTGTTTAATAAGATTCCTCTATCATCCTTTTCAGGTTCCAGTTGCTTATGACGTATAGCGGCCAATGCATCGCATGCACTTACGCTATGGCCCAAAGTTCCATTTTGTATTCTCTGTTTCAAACCGGAGGTATATCTTTGGTTTCCTGAAAGATACAAAGCGAATTAAATATGTTTAGTAATTAAAGAACATGGTAAAAGATGTGTTTCTATGGCTATTATTATTATTATTATTGCTTTATTATTTATAAAACACACCACAGAAAATACAAATAAATGAGGAAAAATCGTATGTGCTAACTTATAAATAAAAGGCGGCCTTATCGCTAAGCAGCGATCTCTTCCAGGCAACCTGAAGTACAGGAAAAAAAAAACAAATTTCGTGGGTAGGTGTAAGGAATAACAAAGAATATCAAGGTACACAGTGAAAGTACATACAACGAGTAGGAGAGACTAACTACTACTACTACTAACTAACTAACTAACTTTTGGCTATTTTGGTCTTCTCATAAAATTGGTTCTTTACTTGAATAAACCTAACCTAAATAAAGATAGAAATAAACTATTGTCTTCTTAAGTCAGTTTAAACGAGAATAAATAAAACAACGTAGTTAACTAATCTAATGTTACAGTTACAGGAACGCACAACATCTTACGTCCCGCGTGACCAGGACGAAGCATCCGAAACTAATATATTTCGCCATTTTTTTAAGCCATTAACAGTGTTCTCTTTAAAGCTAAAAATCAATCAAATCCAAAGAGGCATTAATGTGTTAGCTAATGAACAAACCGTTAATTAAAACATCCGGCAAATTAGTGAGTTTCGTTGAGATGAATCCTTTCTCCTCTTGATGTCCGTTAACACCGCAAGGGTAGCCGCTCAGAGATTTTCCATTTTTGTACGTACTATCGCCGTTTGACTCTCGCTCGCAATTCACAGAATCTTTCTTCTTAATTCCATTGTAGATTTCGCTCGAATTGTTCAGCAGTTCCTGCTGCTGAATGATGTGGTGTGCCTGCCTGGCGCACCTGTCTCGTCGCTTTCTTAGAGCAGTATTAAGTTCCTTTCGATCTTGGTCGTAGAGTGATGGCGAAATGGACGATCGTGGCGCATGCACCTTGTGTTCAGCCTCCACACCAGATATAATAGCTTGCTTCGCTGTTGGTTGTTAGTAAAATGCCAATTTAAAAAGCTGATAATTCAAAGGTTACTGAATAAAACAATGCTTTTTGATGACTCGTTAACACAATTGTTTTAAATAACGCAAAGTGAATTTTATCGTTACGTGTTATTCGCATTGGGTTAATCTAAATAAAAATGCATCGCATGCAGAATTAAAAAACACACGATGTATTGATTCGCGTCTTACCTTTTTCTTTCATTTGATATTTTTTAGATTTTCGGCCATCGCCGTTGGCTAAGTTCACGTTTCGTCTCCTTATCGATTTCATTATTGAGTCGTCTAATTGTCTAAAAAAGGAATATTAAATATATTTTTAATATCAGTGTAACATTTATATGTATTTGTTAATCTATAACAACAGTTTAATAAGTATAGTGAGGTAAAATAGTACATAAGGTTTCATTTACACAGTATAAGTTATTTATGAATTTGGAAATAAAACCTAAATTAAATACTGTCTGTAGCTTTTAAGTACACATTTAAATAAAACACTTTAACGGTTTAAAACGCGAAATGTATTAGTTAACCTTCAGTACAAATTATTTTTTGACTACGGCCCGACGTTTCCCCGTGATCTCGGCTGCTGCATCCGAAAGCATCCAAAACGTCGGGCCGTAAAATAATTTGTAAACAAGAAGAAGAAATTCTAAATTCCTAAGAGTGTTTTATTTAAATACTAAAATTAGGGAGTATACTAAGAAGCTTCGGACCGGCTTTATATAAAATACAAAATATTCAACACGTCGTTTTTATTATATTCGAAATAAAATACATCTTACTTCATTGCATTGCCGCTGTCATCGCCATCTTCATACATCAAAACGGCGTCGAAGATGTGCAACTGTCTCAAAAGATCCAAATCAGTCCCCTGCCTCGACATGTAAAACTGAATGATCTCATCAATCCCCTGATCATGCAGAGCGTCTACTTGATCGTAATAAATATTTTTATCCGGAATATTAATTAAGCATAAATTTATTAGGCTAGTGGCGCATATGAGTAGCTCGGTGTCTGACGCGTCGAAGTCTTGAAGTATTTTAACGACGCTGTACCACGGCGGTCGGCCGTTGGCTTTTTCTACTACATTCATGGCATCGATTAGGAGGAGGCTGTTCCCTTCAGTATATTCGACGAAAATAGATAGAAGTTTGAGGGTAGTATTGACTACGTGGCGGTAGTAGCTGGAGATAAGTGAATATTGCCACTGTATGCAGCCTTTATGTTTCATTACTCCGTGCATTCCATCTACGTATATAAGGATCTGGAATAGAAGATTTAATTTAAAAATCGAAAATCGCTTGAAAAATTTCCGAGTCGACATTTTAAAAATTTATTTACATTTTAAAAATTTTTCGACCTGCCCGACCGGCACTTATGAGGTTTTACCCATCATTCGAACCCTCCTCCTCTTTGTTTGTTTGAACATGCAATCTCGGGAACCACTGATTCAATTGTGTTGGATGGATCATGTATCATGGAAGGCTTTAGGCTATAGAACATCACGTTACGATCAACAGGAGGGAAGGAACAGTGGAATATGTGAAACAAACGGGATTTCTTTTGATCTTTCAGGGCTTCCGTTTTTTGGCGCCGGGGAAAACCCCCCAAAAAAAAAAAAAAATAGTTTCAACTTTTTTTTTATATACACAAAACGTTATATGCCCGGAATTCATATGTGTTAAGATATTTAAGAACTTACTTGTCCCAGAGCTCGTAAAACATAATCGAGGTAGGTTTGATCCTTCGCGCTGACTTGCATGAGACAATCAAGACCATTGTTAGCTACGAATTCGTGAACTAAATCCTTATCCGACTGCAACATTTGCTTGACAGCGAAAAGGGCTCGGCGCAAGTCTTTGCCTTGAGAATGAAGAAGCCTCTCTGAAACACGTGTAAAATATTCAACTGTTACTATTATATATGAATAGATAATTAAATTAAAAATCATTTGATTATAATTATGTTAAAATTATAATAATCGACTTGGAACGGCATCCACAGCGTTCCGTTCTGTTACTCTAACCGATTGAGCTACCAAGTCCTACACGTCATCGTCGATTTTTTTCATCTTAAAGATACATGCAACTCTCGCGCAATGTGTTAAGGTTAGCAAGAAGGCAGTAGTTTGTATACATACAGACAAGACTATACATATCTTGCAAAAATAAAATATACAGACACACGCTTTCTATTGAAAAAATCTAATCTAATCTTAATATTATTTAAAATAGTCGTTTCAGAGATAGACAGACATACACTATTTGAACTCGTCTAACGTCATAATTAACTATTTTGATCACTAATAACACAATAATGTGAAGAAATCGTGGCTGCTTATTGATTGCTGTATAACTTCTGTTTTAATTTGGGGTAATAAATAAAAATACATATTAATTATTATTATTTCACTTTTTTATTGGCCACTGGCCTAAATAATAATATAAAAAATTACACTAATCTTTCCGTTGCATTGTCTTAAGCATCAAATTATATAACTCTTGTTTCCTGATTTCTTCATTTCGAAGGTGTGTAATTTTCAACTCGTGCTCTTGTTCAACAAAATAATGTTCTTTTTTTTGCTATCTCTTGTTGAAGACGCACAAGTTCTAGTCTTGCAGCACTTAGTTCATCTATTTTTGCAGTAACACTGGCCTTAGTTGGTTTTAAAACCGGGTTAATTTTAGTTTTCAATGCTCTTGGGTTCCATGTGGCCCATTTGTTATAAGAATCTGTAAAAAGTAATAAAAGGTTTAATATATGCATTATGTAGTACTTATATTTTGTGAACTTTGTCCATGTTTGTAGGTATATGATGTACTACATAACATAACATTACCATGAACAATGTTTGTTCTAAGACTGTACCAAAATAGACATTAATTTTTTCAACTTGTCATACAAAACTCGGTCAGCTGATTGGTCATTTTGAATGGGAAGTCAAAAAAAATTATGTCTTTATTGGAAAAGTCTTACATTGTTCGGGATGATGTATAGAACATGTGGCCGAAGGGATGAAAAGGTTTAACGATACAATCTGTATAATATTATAAAACCTACCTTCACCATTCTCAGTGCCAATAATTGTTGGTCCTGCATTTTGACTGGCGCTTTCATTCAAGTCCTTTTCTAAAAAAAAGACAAGTTTGTTATGTACTATTCAATGATGAAGGCAACAAACAGAATAAAATTACCTAATTGTAAAATAATTATAATATTGACTGGCCCGATAGCGGATTAGGTAGTGACCGATGAGAATGTCCTGTACGCCAGTTATAATAATAATATCACCAATATTAAAAAAAACTTGTGTACTTGACAACATAAATACATACCATCAGTTTCTTGATTCAACATCACAATCTGTATGTCATTATCTTGAATTGTTTTAAATTTTAAATTAAGGTCATCCTGAGACAAATTAATTTTCAGAGGGACAGATGCAGGTTGAATTACATCTGAAAAATAAGAATAGCTTTAATCTTTATGTATTTGTGACATGAAAAGAAACAATAAGTAGGGATGTTTAATTGGTTTAAATACCTGAAATGTTATCACTATCATTGCGTGCTTCCAATCCTGTAATGTTGGAACATAAAGCCAGCACTTTCTCTTCCACGTCGTCGAAATCAGGAGCATAAGATGGCCCGCCACCTGTGCGATAAAGTTCCTGCCTGTGACAGAACATCTTCTTCTTCGTGGCCTTTTTGATAGCTTCATATTTTAATTTTAATGTTTTAGAGCTACGTGTCGCGGTACCACTAGTCGTTGCATTAAAAGAAGAAGCTATTTTGCCCCAGGCAGCCTCCTTATCTTTATTGGTCACGGCGTCCGTTTTTTTGTTTTCGATTATATACTTATATTTGGTAACCATTTCCGTCAATAATCGCGTTTCGGCTTTATCAAAATTGCTTGCACGCTCACGCTTTTTATCCATTTTTATTTATAATAGAACCAAATTAATTTTTAATTAAATGAAACTAAACAACAAAATTGAGGTTAGTTTTTAATTTCAATGTCAATCATAACTTGTTTCAGTCTAACATCACGATGACTGCATACGTGCATCTCGCTCGTACATAATTAGCGACAGATATTCATAGACAACAGATAGATAGCTATTCTTTAGTTAAAAAACGATTGAAAAATTGAAAATATTTATTCCCTTGTTAAACAGCCAGTTATTTTTACACGTCAGTTAGTTATCTAGGGACTTATCAAAGGATTGAAAAATCGGCCCTAAGTTATATCAAATATGATCTATTATATATACAAAAACTTAATTCTATATGTAAAATTCTGAAAATCAAATGTTATTTTTAAATAATTTAACACTATACAAAAAACACGACGTGTAAAATTAACAAATGTACTTACAAACCAAAATTAATCAAATCCAAAAAAAGTCACGGAAATAAAAGTGAGGAATTTCTTCTTTTATTTTATATATATATTTTTTTATGAATATAATAAATGTTTTTTATATTATTATATATAAAGTAAATTTGTAAAAAATAGCATCGTAAAAAAAATATTTTTGTTATATATCTCTGAAACGGCTCCTCCGATTTTGATTGGGTTTTCACTGGTATGTAGCTGTTGTAATAAGGTTAAAATTAGTTTGATTGAGAAAAAATTAAACGTAGGTACCTGTAATAGCGTGGACGCGCACCGATAATTGAGTTCGCAGGACGAGAGCATTCTTGCGGCTAGAGAAAAAATGTTATTTAATAAATTAAATAAAATGATACCCTATGTCTTTAGATATAAAGTAAATTAAAAGTTAGTGTAAAATCCCGTTTCATCCCGTAGGGCATGGGGCGAACATATTTCTGACTCCGTGTACTACTCGGTATTGTTTACAAGTAGTTTATCAGATCCAGTATCCTGCCCTTCCGATAAAATCTTTTCCGAAACTGTTTCCCCGGAATTCGAACCCAAGACCTCTCACGTTTAACGCAAAGCTAGGCAACACGTCTAACTAATTAGCTACAGAGGTGGTCTAATATATTATTTAATATATACTTGGTTACTTCTATATAAATGACATACGATAGAATTGAAAACAACTTCTATAGTTAATTAATTAATAATAATTTATTAAATCAATTTCTGGGTTCGAAACCTGGAAAAACAAGTTCGGTAGGGCAGTGCACATTTATTAATTACTCATCTTGAATACAATATTTCATAGAATAGGACACAGATCTGTGTCTCCTATTCGCCACACACGGTGAAAACCGGGTTTCGAACACAGTGTGTACGTAGAAAATAAATTACATTCGGTTCTGGTTCAATGAAATTTGTCGAACACGTGAAAATTGAAATAATTCAACTCACTCATCTTCTAAATTTATAAATGCACTATGATCTTCAAAATCAGAGGTATCACTCTTTACGTCCATTGCAATTTCATCTAATAAATTTTACACTAAAACTTTTGATGTTACAATTTGAACCGCGATTAGGTATGCCTCCTACCAACGCATCTGCTCGTGTGAACAGTTTAAAACACTATCGCGATTCATTTTACCTTACCCACTACAACTACAGAGTGCTCTTAAATAACTACCCTCAAATTTGTAGCAAGAAAAAAACAAAAAATATATATACATGTATGCCCATTATGAAAGCTAAAGTTTTATTTTTTATTAGTACAATTATTAATTAAGTTTATAAACTAAACGTAATTTTTGGTAAATTAATAAATGTATTTTTTTATAGATTTACAACTAATCGTTATAGATAGTGAACTAAATAATTTAAAAATTATAATTACACTTTTAATAATTAATTAAAACTTTTTCATTCTACTCTCTCGTTCGAGGTAATTTCAACTTTAAAACTTACAAATTAAGGTTGAATGTCTGATGTTTTACACCGTATTCATTAAAGATTTTGACTTTACTGCTATCTCGAACAATATCGGAAGAACAATTTTTAAAAGTTATCACGTTTAAATCCGTCTAAATTGTACATTAATTAGCAGATACTCGAATAAATCGACCTGTGAATCAAATCATAGTGCAAGTTCATTGTTTGTGCCAGCTGAAGTTTTTATAATAGATTCTACTTCGTTCTGATCGAAAGGCTGAACAAAAAATTGTCGCGAAGACAATTACAGTTTCGCCATTAACATTATCGAGTGTGTTTTCTAGTCTCTCTATATTATCAGTCTGTTTTTTAAATGCTTACTCGTAACCGATGCCACATAGACGTGACGACACTTCTAACGGGTTAAAACAAAAAATAATTAATACTACATTCCGTTCGATATTACAGCAGCAATTACTACCGGCTTGTTCACTTAAAAGTAAATTCAACGTTCAATGCATTTTATTTAACATGTTACACTGTTTCATATAATTTATAGACAAGACTTTGAATAAAGAAACGTGAGTGTGTTTTAACCTCAGCACAAAGGTCTAAAGAAAAACTGACGGGTATTTTTTTCTAGTATATCTCTGTTATTCACAAAACTCTGTTCTTATTAATATGGCACCAGTTACATGTCGTATGTATTTTACAATTCTTGATATCAAAGTATTTTAGAAATTTAAATTTAGTAATAACTTTTATTTTTTAATGTAAACAAAATTGGTAATAAACAAAACAAGATCGCTTTTAATATTGTTTTGTGCGTTTCTTTTTCTTCTGTTTTATATTATTATACTTAACATACGAATTCAAAATTCTCACGGCAAAACTATTTTAAATCACAAAAGTGTAATACCAAATTATGAATTGCTACTTTTACAAGAAATATAGAAAGTGTCATTGCATTAACATTATGTTCAGGTGTATAGTTTCGGCTATTATATGTGCTAACTAATAAAAAAATCTCTTTACCATTTTCTTCTAGGATTTAGTAACTTTATGCTTTGTTGTAAACTGTACATTATCTATGCTATTAAAATAAATATGTAAAAACTTTTTGGGTTTTAACTTTGAAAATAGAACAAATAAATCCCTACAAGTATTCGTATTTTCTTCAGCCTTAAAAGGTCCCAACAGTGGAAATGTTTTATGTTAATTCGGTTAAAGTGTTATAGACTATATTTTGTATATGTTTGTAACAACAGCCTATATAAAAGGGAACTGTTATAATTTAAGGATGATTCTACTGCGTAGTGGGGCTCCGTTGCATTGATTGTATGACGGGGGGTGACGAGGAAGTACAATCTATTCCACTTCCATACAATTGGTGATCACCTGTTTGCATTACTTTCGTCGACCTTCAATGACCTTTCTTCTATTATTATAATAAAATACAATAAAATTATTCTGAAATGACTGTGGTTCTTTATTTTGAGACTTTGAGGGTAGTAATACATTTGGTACTTTTAAAGGCCCTAAAATGGCAGTGGCGAACTTGGAATTCTTATATTATATGAAGTTTGCCTTATCTTTTAAATCAAATATTAATTTTATAACATATATATAAAAACAATTTAAACCCACTTATTTCCATAACTATGTTTTTTCTCAGATTAAATTCACGACTTGATAAACGCGTTTAAAATTTTGATATTTAGCGAAATTTAAATATTTTGAAGCCCCCAAAGAGGTTTGACTAACTAGGCCTCTTACCTTTCTTGTAAACCTTCTATTTCTTCATCTTGTTCGCCAAGAGTGGAATCAAGGTCCAAATAAGGGCCGTAGTCGCCGTCCTTGAACACTTGTAGGGTCGCATCGTCCAACTGTAAACGATGAATATGCTTAAAAACGCCATATTAAGATTGAATTGATGTAAAGTTTCATAGAATACATTTTTATATAGAAGAAGGACTGTTAATTATTAAATTACTAGAAGATGCCTCAGCCATCTATATCAATGCTATCTCTAGAACATTGATGAGATTTAAGAAATAATTTCCAGTATGGAATAACAGTGATCGCCTCTGTAGATAAATGGTTTAAGGTCCTGGATTTAAATCCCGGGGAAACAATCGATTTTTTTGTTCGGACAGAAGTGTGATCAAATTGCCTGTAAATAAATAACCGATTAGTGTAACGGACACAGAAATGTGTTCGCCCAAATCCCCACGAGGGAAACGGATATTTAATTAGATTATTATAGATAAATTAGAAATAAGACGGGCTTAACACGTCTGGGTAATACATTTTATAAAAAGCATTATTCGTATACGGTTATTCTTTCTTCGCTAGAGATTCTGGGTTTGGATTAGGAAACAAAACAGGATGCAGAAGTTATTATATGATCTAGCCGAAATATAGATCAGTCTAATGGACAAAGGAATATGTCTGTAGTTTAGCGAGTAGTACACATTTAAATAAAACACTTTAACGGCTTAAAGCGCGATATACAATAGTTAAACTTATTTGAAATTAATTTTAACTATATATAACGCGTTTTAAACCGTTATAGTGTTCTAGACAAAAAATAAATGGGTGTTTGGCGTGTCTGACACCGCACGGTTCACTTGTTTCTTATTAACAACAACGATATGATAATAGGGATAGTAATGTTTGGGATAGCCATGATTGGCATCATTCCAGCTCTGAAACTGGAGCATCACTTGAAATAGTTTCCTGTTAACGGGATCCGTGCACCTAATTTACTCGAAACCTAAAATCACAATGACCTGTATAGTAAAATGTGCAGTGAATCAAATCCTTTAGCTGATTGAAAAGACTAGTTCTGTACGCTGTCTGTGTAAGCGTGAATACTGCCTGTTGTTTACGCGAGTAGTACACAATTTAATAAAACACTTTAACGGTTTAAAACGCGATACATAGTTAACTTATTTGATAATAATCTGAAACTTCAGGCCGTTGTTAAAATAATTTTCGAATATTAACTAATATAGATCGCGTTTTAAAACGTTAAAGTGTTTTATTTAAATATAAGCATGAGTGTTGAATATATAAGATGCAATGAAAATATTCTCATTTTATCTGTATTATTATTTACATTTAAAGCAATATAAGTAACACTTGTTGCTTTTACTTAAAGTAGACTTGACTGGTCGGTGACGACTTTTGTTCGGACTATAAATGTATATACATATCGTAATATTATCTATGCCAGAGCCAGAGTAGCCTAACTGCAATTTTATGACTTGACTTATTAATAGTTTTATAGTCTAAAAATGTTAATCTACAAGTGCACACTGACCGAAAATTGTTAACATAATTTTTACACAAATAATAGTAGCAATTCCATTTTCGCCTAAGTTAATTGTGCATTTTTAATTTCCTCCACATTGAAAATCATGTTTTTTGTTATTGGGCCACTCTGGTTTTAGCAGCCCCATATGATATCGATTGGTGAATGTTTTTGAAGAAATTCCATTGTAACTTTATAGAGTAATTTGCTATGTTATAAGCGTCTATGAATATTTATTTCGCGAAAATACACGTGTTAGCTCTGCTTTCAACATGTTATCTCGTAATATATTATGGAAGTAGGGCTTTTACTTTGAAAACCTACATTTTCTTCGCTATTATTTGGGGTTTTAAGAATAAGACTGACATAGGGCAGCGATAAATAAAAATTAGGTCGTGACATAGTTCTCTGTTTTCTTGTTGACTCCAATGGAAAACAAATCATGCTTTAGAACTGGCGGAAGAGCTATAGAGAAGAAGGAGCAGTATTATTATACAATACCTCTGTGTAAAGTAGATTTGGGTGACGTTTTTATTCTATGTATGATAAAGTCTGCAAGGCTAACAACGAGTCGTGGCTTCGATTTATACCGGGTCCAATATTTTTCTAATCAATTCATAATTGATCTAAGACATGTTGGATTTTGTCTGGAAATCTGAATATTAAATGGGAGGTGGAAATATCGCGATTCCGTCCGGGACACGAACCACCGTCCACAGATGAAATACCCGTTAAGATTAATCGCGTTTCAGTTTCAGCCTGTGGATTTCCGAAATCTAAAGCCATCTTGCTTAGATATTATTATATGCTATTTTACCTACCAACAAGTGAAAGGTCATGCTTGCCTGTTCTCCCCTATCATAAAAAAGGAAACCTGCGCAAGAGGTGAATTATAATTTATGTATTACTAAGTAAACATAAATAGTAGAATTATATTGAGAACAATTAAAAAGTAGTAGGACTATCGTAAACCCTTTTTACTTGAATAGTAATGTGATTATAAATGTTATATATTTTGTTGTAATATAATGTAATTTTTAAAGCGTTGTCACGTTTGGAATGATGCATCTTCGAATAATAAAATTTATAATTTGAATTGGTAAAGCGACAACCGGTCGGTTTTTTACGGAAACTGGCTAACGTTAGGCAAAAATGAAGAAGACCGAGAGAAGAGCAATTTAATCAAATTTGACTGTTCTAAATTGTTGATACCAATAGTAGGAAGCGCACAAGATTATATAACTTGCAAACAATAGAAGATAAATCTCTAAAATACAATTTCGTTTAACATGTTTGTTATTGTTTCTGCAGATATATTTGGGATCTTCGGCTTCGAAAATCGGATGAGCCGGTAACCGAAGCCGAATTCTAGATACAATGTCATATCACGCGCGCCTATCAAATTTCATGCAGCAATTAAATAGTATGTGTGTGGCTTAAAGAGAGTAACGGAATCTGAGTACAGTATGTATGGTTATTGACGATACTTCGATGTTACAAATGAAATATTAGTTAAAGGTAGTTAGGGCATAGAAGTATTTTATGTACCTATATTTTATTTTAGAAGTGTTTGTGTTTCATACAAACAGTCCTACAGGCAGATTGATAAAAGAAACATAAGACTGAATCGATTTCCGAAATATAGAAATGAACGTCCATTTTAAGTATGTATAAATTATGATAGTAAGACTCTTTAAGATTGCCTTAAACCTCAGAGGTCCTGTGTTCGAATCCCTGACGCTATAATTTTGGTCGATCAGGACACGGATTTGAAAAATACAATAATTGTAAAATCTCATCAAGTGATAATGCCCCATGTCAAAATTACTTTCTACCCCCCGTCATTGTCAAGTTTTAATAAAACAATGCCGATATGCCTGTGTAGTGTACGATTGAGATAAAACTGCTTGGTTCTTTAATTTTAAATAAGGTAAGGAAGCCATATTAATAAATTCCTGTGTGTACATACATTAGAAACTAATAAAACAACGCGAGGTATAACTGGAACTCGAATGTTTACATTACACATTTTAGCTGAGGTGCCGACCGCTGAGTAGGCAGGTGGTGGATTAAAAAATAAGGTTGACCTTGAATCTTGCTATGTATAGCGTGTCCTAAATTAACACTACGAATTTGATGAGCTTGGTTTTACCATAATAATATATATGATTAACAAATAATTAATAGGATAGAAAAAGTGAAGCAATCTAGATTTAATTTCTTAATCTAATTACATTGTGAGTATTTTTGAAACACGCATTGAAATATTGTATATTTGTTACCTGAGTCAAACATGATTGACATTTTTCTAAAAGAGACATAGGAACAGAAGAAAAAAATGTTTATTTATCTGTTTGTAAATAATTAATTTATCTTTTGTCTAGCTAACTAAAAGTTTTAATTAAGATATTAAAATGGTTGTATTTCGTTCCCTAAAATTCTTTGTTTCTCAGAGTTTTTACTCATAGCCCAAAGTCCTAACTCTGGTGCGAACTTTTAATTTTGCTAGTCACAAGTTGTCATTAAATACAACATAAGACAGTAAATACTGGAGATAATAAAAATGGGTTTAGTTAGAAGTGGACGTAATTATTATTTTAAGCATGCTAGTTTTTAGTGTGTATGTATAAACACTTTAAACTTGTGAGTGTTTTGTTCACAATGATTCAAAAACATTTCTGGCAAACATAGATCATGAAACAGCAACGTTTCCAGGAAAAGAACATGACTTATATACTTTTAGTGCATATCTGGTTGGCAATACCTAGTAATTATGTTTTAACAATATAATACAGAAATAGATGAACTTATTTTAATTTTTGAAAAAAAAACACGTTTTGTAGTATTTGAGAAAAATAAAAATATCTATGACACAGGCGGGCCATGTGGGTCCCTCGACAACTCCGTGCGATATTTACTCAATGTATATAATGACCCTTTCAAATGCTGTTATAAAACACGTAGAAAATCTTCTATATATTAGCAATGTTACATGTTCCTTTTGAAAAGTTTTGAATGAATCACGACGTGATGAAAGACATCTTCACAGACACTGTATCACGCTTATGACAGACAAATCAGTACAGAATATTAGTCACATTCGCGAATAGATTGTTGGTCAACAGTACGCTAGACATGTGGTGAAAACCTTACTAATATTTATAGAAGAGTTATTTTGAAAGCTAATTAAATTAATAGTCATTTATCCTGAATTATAGCACGGCGATTACGTGGCTAGCTCTCACCTGAAGGCGAACAAATATTTAGAACAGATAATTTTAGCTAAATACCACGATGACTAACTTTTATTACAAACGTTACGCGAAACTCGATAACTGATGGAAATTAATATTAAATAATCTACGTTTTTCAAATTAAGAACGTGTAATATTCTAAATTTGAAATGTAGACTAACCTACTAAACGAAAAACGAAAGGGAAATAAAATTACTTTTTTTAAATGCATGAATGAATTCAATAGGTTGAATTCTTAATTCGAAATGACGAATTCTATAAACAAATAAAATTATTATTTAGAACGTGTAATGTTCTAAATTTAAAACGTAGACTAACTGACTACATAATAGACAAATTTAAACATTTTGCATTTATATGCATTGTATTCAATAGGCTTAATTCTAAATTCGAATTGACTGATTATATAAAGAAATAAAAATATTGTTTAAAAGCCGAATAAGCTTTATTTTAAAACAAAACATAGACGAGTAATAGAATACAATTTTTGTGGATCGTTTTTGTATTATACTGAAACAATTTTTTTATACTTACCCTGTGTGGAGCTTGCAACAGTCGATGCACCGCCGCGATTTGATACGACAAGGGTAGCGACGAGTTGAAAGTATGGTAGAGTGGTCTCGTCGGTAGCCTGACATTGTACTCGTTGAAAGGGTCCAGATCGTTCAAGTACTGAACACGGCAGACGAAAGCGTTCGCCCCGATATCTCTTAGGGCTGCGTTCACTCTATTATTATCGGGCATTTTCACTAATTCAATCATTTTTATTTTTATGCGATATCACATTGTTTGAACGCACGAGTTGTATCTGTGGAGCCGGTGTTTGCTTTTAATGACACGCGCGTGGGCTTCCAGCAAATTGGAGCAGTGCTGGGCAGTTACGCGACGGCGGTATACTGAGGCGAGTCTCGTTTCGCGGGAACACACGTGCCAGATCAGTACGAGATAATATTCGCTGATATGATTAATTTTATTCGAGGTACCTAGTTTTCCATGGAATGCATACAATATATATACATAAAATGCATGCATGATACGACGCGTAATGCCTTATTCCTACAAGGCCTTCTTAACTTACTTTGTTATTAAAAACGAACAGGCTTAAACCGAAACTCGAATGTAGATATTCCTACACCATTCAATTTCCAGATTTTCCAGTCAGAGTTTAACGTTATTTATTACAGGAAATTGGATTTTTTCTATGTCGGGCCAGCGAAAACCGAACCTACGACCCGTTGATTATTTTTTATATGTAATCTATCTTATAACTAAATAATGTATCTTATAACATTTTATGTTGTCTGCGTTTGCATTTGAGTTATATCGTTTAACGTTTCTTAAATCTGTACCTACACGACTATGTATGTTTTAATGTAAGCTTGTGAAACATAACAGACATATTTTTGTGTCTCTGTCACTGATAAATTGTACAGACGCGTAGTTCAACTTTGTCTTGTGCGAGCGATATAATTGTTAATTCGGGATTCGAGTTTAAAACTCGTGGAACTAATGGTTATGTAATTTATTATTATCTGTGGATTGGGCGGGAAGTTGCCTCATAAGAGCAACATTGAAACGAACGGATTCATGCGTTGTTTCTCTCGAAAGATTAAGATCGTGGTTGTCCGACGTGGTTTTTAATGAGGCTTACTTTGGTCCGATTTTTTACGATAGAAGAGAACAGACATACATGGGCTGTATGTCTGTTCTTCTATCGTAATATATCAATTGATGGTTCAAGATCATCTAAACAAGATGCAATGTAGACCTAACTTGGCTTAGAATATTCGAAAATTCAAAAATAGAAGCAGAAGGAGAATAAACAACCACGTACATATCCAGACTATGGTACCGTTTTGCTAATACAAGTCCGTTTAGAAAAAAACAGATAATGGCAACATTCCGAACCCACTGAGAATAGAAGCCACTATCCTTTGCTTCTTACCCATGTATAGGACCAACGAGGCCGACAAAACGTAAGACATTATTACTTCACTACTGAGACATATGTTTGCTGTATATATTTGACGATGAAACACGCAGGTAATTGGTGTGCGACCTCATTTTAATACTGTCCTAAATATATTGTGAGAGTGCATATTGCGATATCAGTTTATCTTAATTAAGATAAATATAGATAAGAATCAAGGGTAAAAGCGATCTTTTTGATTGACCATAAACAAACTAGATACACAATAATGTTTAAGAAGCTTTATTGAAGGTCATATATCATTAGCAAGCAACAAGTGTAATTAGAGATTCTCAATGTTTATACGAGCGGTACTCGAACCGGCTACCATATCTTTAAAACCTCAAATGACAGGCATTTGAAAGGATTTGTTTTTCTTAAGATGTTTAAACATCTTGACACGCAAGGGGAGAATCATGATAGATATGGATATTTAATAACGAGATGCCGTGGATCATTGGTTAATCAACTGAATGAGCGCGAGTAGTTTTAGGTTCGAGTTTTATGGAAATTTAAGAAATAGTATCAGTTGGACTAAAAAGCGGATAAAGTACTTGCATGTCCATAAAATAGGGATAACATAGAAATGTAACTTTTCACAAATCCCAGGGGGATGCGTCGCGCTGTAATTTAAAATAATTTGTGCCACAGCCGCAGCCGCTTCAAAGCATCGAAAACTTCAAGCCTTTAGTTAAAACAATTTATAAATAAGTTTATCCAATATTTTTCGAGTTTTAAACTGTTAAAGATTTTTATTTAAATGTTACTACTCGCGTAAACTAGGGACAGTATTTATGACACGTAAGAAAAATGGGGAACATATAATTGTTTTTAATAAGACTATTAATATAAAACAAGGTTTGAATAAGAAACAATATTTAAGTATATAGAAAGATAGACATATGACAGGTTAAATCTTCCTTCCTAGGATAGATCATAGATTAAGTACATAATATGTAATACATATGTTTTAGATCAAGTACATATGTAATCTCAAACAATAAAACCTCCCTTATAAACGCACGAGCGATGTAATAATTAGATACTTAAGACGGCAGTTATTATAATTACTTCTATTGTTACCTTAGCAATAATTACACAATTACTCATAATAATGGTAATGACTTATAGTTATTACAACTGATTACTTTTTAAATATTTTTAAATGTATATTTCTTCATGATCATGGCGCAAAAAAACGGAAGTATGATTTATATATTTATAGATATGTTTGTTTTACTGTAGTGCCTAAAATACGGAGAAGATTTCTTTGAAACGTAATAATGGCGGGTAACACTTGTCACATAAAAAACAAAATGGACGGCGGAATTTAAGTTTGAAAATGGAACGTCCGTGTTTGGAACGAAATAATCGTATCGTATCGTACTAAATGTAATTATCCCCACATATATATAGTTAAAACACTTGTATATATAATTAAAATAAAAATGTAATAACTTCAACACGATTCAAGATTTTTGTTCAATGTTAAAGGATGAACAAGTACGCTATTTTGGGATACATGTATTACAAGATTGCTCTAAATAAGTGGTCAAGGTTTATTGTTGCGCTATATATTTTGAGAGTCTCTTCAACACTAATTAATTGAATAACGACGGTCTTTAAGTTGACGGGATCGTTGGTGTAATGGCAACAATGTATGGCTAGTAATCAACGGGCCGAGGGATCAATCCCCTACTAGGTCAACCATTTTTCTAATCTACGTATGAAACATATTGGATTGCGTCTGCAAATCTTAGGAAGTAGGAATGTCGGAATTCCGTCCGGGTAACGAACCACCCTATGGACAGATGAAAAAGCCGTGAAGTTTAAAACGCGAACAGATGAAGTTAGTTAGTAAGTGTATCAATAGGTTGAAAAAAATTACGATAACGTGTAGAACATGTCAGTTGGTTAGAGCAACAGCACGGAACGCTGTGGATGGCGGTACAAGGCTTGCCCGTGTATATATATTTCAATTTATATAGTCCCATCATGTGCAATAACATGTCAAAAATATTAAAGTTTTCACTGCTGAATATAGACTGTAGGCGTCTACAAAATGATAAACGGATAGGCGTAACGACTTACGCCTTTTATATTGCAGCTAACTGGACAATATGAAATAAAAGGTTAATAGACTAAACATATTACGAAAGCCTCGCTGTTCCAAAAACTTGCGAAACAAAGATTGTTCCGTCTGTATTGTTCCGAGCTTTAAGACGCCACTTTATAGAAAGTCCTAGAAACTACATCGCCTACAATTTTCTTTGCCAAGACGAGATTTTGGAAGTTGAGTTAAATAGACGGGGCACAATAAAAAAAGTAAAAAATAAACTATTGTATATTAGATTTCAAATTACTTTTGCGTAACAATACTTTGTCGTAGATAATGCATTAAAATATTTTCAGATCACAATTATCTTGCTTTAATATCGAATAATAAGCAATAATGCCTTTCTGGCAACACTGACTGTGTACTATAAAGACTATGTGTGAGCTATCACTATATATTAAGCTTAACACTTGTGAGCATGTTTTAGAGATAAAATTTTTCTACCCTCAGTAGTTGTGTGAGGTAAATTTAAACTGTTACTGTATTTAAAAGATAGAATCGATAAATTTAATGAAGAATACCGATTGTTTAGTTAGTCGTGTTCCCAAGTTTCTGATCGGGAAATGGTTTCTCGTGAGGTCATTGAACCCGTGCGCCGAGTCGCCCTGTTTCTACGATTCATCACGCCTCTGGAGACATTGGACTAGGAATAAGAATTTAATACAATCGTTAGTCGATATAATATTGATATTTAATTGATTGATAACTGGTTTTATGCTTCTTTAAATTTTAATCATGAGTCTAATTAAATTGTATATTACACTCACATTTCGTAGTCTATTAACTTAAGAATTATTAAAATAAGTGTTAATTAAAGTTATAAAATAATTATTCACGTTAAAATTTTAGCGTCGTAAAATATTCTCTAGCAAAATGGAAAAACAAAATACATCTTACTTTACTTCGAAAAAGAACACGTTTGTTTTAGCGTGGATTCGAATACCAACTACGACGGAACAGATGGCGCTAGCGTAGCAGTTTTTCTTTTATATTGTGGACATTCTTTAGTGTCCCTGTGACTGCGGCTACTGCAAAACATTTTAAACGTCGGACCGTAGTTAAAATAATTAGTAAATAAGGCAAACTAATACATTTCGCGTTTTGAACTGTTAACATGTTTTATTTAAATAGTTTTAGACAATAAAAATAAAAACTGTAATGACTACTTTCATGTTAGATAGACCATTAATCAACTTACAGCCGAAGTTACACTGTACATTTTACTTTTCGCTTTGACCAGATGTAGCAAAGAAATAGTGGAAAATGTGGAAAATATGAGGAAAACATCTTTCAGGGCTTCCGATACATACCCGGGAAAACGGTTCAAAAATATGTATGGTAGAATTATTCCACTTTAAATGGTAAAAAAAGTTAGGGACACTATATTATTAAGGTGTTTTATTTAATAAAGACTTTTTGAATCCGAAATTTTATCGTTCTCTATTCAGTCAGGACCTCGTCTACCATTAAAGAATTCTAACCACTCTAGAGCAACAAAGCAGTTAACACTAACAAACGCCAACACACGATTAGAAGTGTCTACTTATAAGGCAAAGGGTATTACAATAACACGAATAAAAACACCGGCCTTGGGCGTTATCCAGACAGTTATGGAAGCTCGAAGGAAATTAAGGGCATACAGCCGCTGTCATTTAGGAA